CGCTCCTTTCACCGTCTGGCAGAGAACGGAGGTACCCTTGGGGGGCAAACCAGGCGATTTAATTTTTTTCAGAGGCTTCTTTTATTGAGGACCTTTTACATGTAGTAAATCTACAAAATGGGACAGCCGGCTTTACTTCTGTCCTCTGAAGGAAGGCGCCGTTAAAAAATCACGACTTCGATCAGCTTTAAACCCGCGAACATGGGTTCAACAGTCCGAAACACTAACCGTGGTCAGCCCCGAAGCCTCACGACCTACGTCGGCTAGCGGGGATTCTCCCAACCAGCGCGGCGCCGCCGCAGCCGGGGAATCCCCAAGTCCCCGACATGCATGGTAGTGAAGCGCGTGTGTGTGTGTTTGTAAGTAAGGGGGAGAAAAGACAAGGAAGAGGAAGGTAAGAACGTGCGCTGTCCGTGCGTGATTTGTTAGGGTACTGCTCCGGCTTTCGTCTCGTGTTGATCGCAGAGACCGCGGAAAACTACCGAACAGGGCAATCGGCCGCTGGAATTGTACTCTAGGCAGCGGTGGAATTCGATCTAGCTGATAAGCTAGTGTCGAAATTCTGCCACCGCTGTGACACGAACCCCAGTGCCTCGCGCTTGGCGGCAATTCAGAACCATCAGCTAATGCCCTAAGCCACCTTTGCTGGTTCATATTAAAAAAAATACAAGACCTTATTTCACGTCGTGTCTTTGAAGAACAGATTTCATTAAGGTAAACTTTGTTATCTTCAGTATTGTAATTGTAGGAAGACGCCGAAAATGTTTTGCCTTTTTCGAAAATACAATAATTATTTGACGAGACCCGCTCCATTTTTAATCATTCTCTAGGCTCTCCAAGAACAAAGTATAATAGAAATGTTGTAGCCCTTGACAACAGACGGAAAGACATAGACAGACAGGCAGACACGTTTTGCCGTCAATCGATTTTATTAGTATCAAGGATCCCCGACATATAGATCTGAATACACGACATGATAAAGAGAGTAATATACTAGATATAGGAGATATAGTTCATTTATCCATTTTTTCGTTATCAGGGCTCGCAAATACGAACTTTTCTGTCGCAAAGATGTGGTTTCCGCCGCAGTATTAAAATACTGTCTCTTTACTAGGTTCACGTAGTAAGGGCGAGGGAGTAAAATAAATCGTCAGGAGCTCTGGACAGACAGAACCGCGAGATCAAAGTAAATAACTTTTTAATTTCTCCAGGGACTCTAAAAGCCTGCAGTTCGAAAATAAGGCTACAGACGTCTTACCTCGTAATATTCGCTCATGCCATGCGAATTACGAAGATTCGTTGGTTTTGGAAAATGTCAATTATAAAAACAAAGGAAATTCTTAACTGTTTCTGGGAAATACAAACTGAAGAGCGCAGCTAATAATCGGGTGGAAGGGCTGTGAATAAGGTACTGTCTATTTAGCAAACAAATGTCGTGGGATCTTTTTATTTTCTCTAATGCTACTTACGTAGTATAGAGAAATTATTGTAAAACTACCGCAAAACGGCGATTTTACACCAGAAATGCGGTATTTTGGGGGCCTGATACTGAAAAAGTGAATAAACCTAGTTCCTATAAGCAGTAAATTACTTCCTCTAATACGTTGTGAACTCAGATTTCAAACTTTGTGGGACATGGACACCGAAAAATTGGCTGTTGTTAAATTATCTGCCTTTGTCCTGAGCGCAAAGCTAGAGCATAAACAGTTCAGACGATTTTCTACAAAACTGATATTCTTTCATCGATCTGGCCGAACTCGAGGTCCTGCGCATTTGAGACGAATATTTTGGTTTTTTTAAGGGCGAGGTATTTTACGAGAAATGGAAACTTTTTTCTATGCCAAACACTCCAAGCTTTTTGTTTAAATTTTTACATCTGATGGAGCGAAAGACGCTTACCAAATGGGGCGGGTTTTATTTTTTTCCTTCTGAATTTTTAAAAATTGAAAAGTTACATTTTTGTGCGTTTTCTCATAAATATGATATTGAAGATGTATTTTTTCTAATGAAATTTATTCTTCAATGTCAACTTTTTCTATAAGATCATGTGTAGTATTTGGAATATTTGAGTAGTTTTTACGACATTTTGAGTGAAATATAGAGAATTTTTCAAAACGTCATTTTCTCAAAAACGTATTCAATGTTTTGTTTATTTTTTATAAATTAAATATAAATAAAAGTGTGTACTTTGCATTTTCGAAAATTGCTACAAATTAACATTAATGAATTAAAAATAACAAACTCAACAATATTAACAAAACATGCTGATGATAGAGATATTTTCAAATTGTTCCCTAAAATTTGATCTTTAAATAAGATCATCTATTTATTTATTTATTTGATATTTTTTCCTGGCGGGGCTAGTTGCAAAAGCACGAATATCTCAGAATCAAAAATTCATTTAGCATTTTCATTTAATCAAGCAATTAATATTAATCATCCCCTATAATATTTCAGTAATACCTACCTTTTGTGGCACCCACACGCAATCAATCTTTATAAATAAGGTCTTTAGGAAAGAGAATTTCACGGAGACGTGACGAATTGCATTTTTACTTCAAAAATATGAAGGATTTTTTTAAATAAGGCAACTAAATATTCATGTCAAATGCAACCCGCAGCACTTGTCAGGGTTTTTTGTGTCTGTATGGTTAAATAACTCCTAATCGAAGCTTTTTAGTGCCTTAAAACTTGAAATTTTGAAGCCAAAAGCCTTAAAAATGTTTATTACGCCGTAATCTACAGGATACGACATTCTTGGACATTCTATTACATTTTTCTGGTCCGGCACTTATCGAAATTATCGAATACCAACTATATTACTCGGCCCTGGAGACGATCTTTGTTTGTGACGTCATGCTTAGAAGGCTTAATTTGTCCAACTTATATGTACGCGTTCTTGTACACCGTGGTTTGCGCCGACTGATGCGGTTGTTTTGCTTAATTATTTATTCAAGATTATGCAAATAAACCTAAATGATCTCGTAGCAACAGTAAGTATTATTAGTTGTTTGATACCGATGAAGATTGCTTTTATGTGCAAAATGTGACCGTTCATTTATCGAATGTAAGTAATGATATTCTTGTTTCTGTGAAAAGTTTCTTAAGCAGTATCTACAGAATCTCCCGAATCAGTAACATACAGAATCTACAACTATATGTGAAATGAAACTAATTACGTGATATTCTCGGCGATTAAATTTCACGAGTCTATCTTTCAATTCGGTAATAAAGATAAATTATATCCGAAGAGTAGAGTTATGCTTGCGCAAACCTGTTTTTTTTCGCATGGGTAAATTTAAGTACCTTTCTTGAGAGTAGAAAAAGAGAGTAAAGAGTGTTTTGAATATTTTTGTGACTATCGAGGAAAGCGAAAAGCTTACCGTCACGAAAAATTGAATAATTACTTCAAATGCTGGTTTTAAGGAAGTGCCGTGAATTGCTTCAAGAATGTCTACAACATTGAATAAACCTTTATTCAAAATTTGTTTCAAACGTCGATTTCAATGTTATTTATTTTTATTTTGAATTCTGTAATTTTTTTCAAAGCTTTTTTTTAACAAACAAACAGGTTTCGTTAACAACTTCCTCTCCTAATACGGAGAAGAAAAGATAGGGAAGAGGGTGGAATTTAACATACGAGAGTTCTCACACGGGTACGCTGGTTATCAATTAATTAATATAACATTTAAATTTACAAGTTTCCCACAAAGAAGCATTTTGTATTAAGACGTGGTATGTCAACGGAAACAAAACATTTATGTACAAATTACGCTAATGTCATCGCCTACAGTATCTTCCGGAATGCCATTACTTATACAAAAGTGGTGCATGCCTGTTCTTTTGTCTAGGAAACATTTTGATGACTCGATTGTTGAATTTCCTCGTTGTGAATCGAACAAACAGGCAACAAATTAAGTCTATCTTGACCCATGGTATTTCTATGAAACGTCTTGAGCCTTTTTAATACTCAAGCTCCATTCGGATTCAGATGTAGTAACCAGAGTTGTTAACACTATCTACAATGTTTTGCAAGACTCAGAAAAATAATCCCTGAAAGAATATTGCTTAAAGAAAATGAAGAAATCAGTACTTAGTATTGATAATTTCTAACATTTTCCTGTTAAATTAGAAACCTAGATGCTATAATGTGATTGATATATGAACATTTAACCAATCGTAACAGAAAATGAAAACTATACAAGGAGAATAAATATAAGAATTATAATATTTTAGAGGAACCCATGTACAAGTGTTCGAAACAATTATGTTATATTTCCAATGCTCTTCCTTTTTCTGAATTTCCAAAGTCAGAATTTCATTCAAGAATTGTGATACATAAATTTAGAAAAACATAATTATTGAAGCATGTATTAACCAATCTTAAACGTGAGCACTTAAATGGTTCGGTACATCTATATCAATTACTTCTACTTTCTCGCTTACCACTATCTGCCGTAGTAAAGAAAAAGTGCTTGTAAAACTACAGCGGAAAGTGGCGTATTTTCATAAAAAAAGTCGTCGTTTGTTGCCCTGTGATACGGAAATGGTAGTTTACGTAACAAGAGTGCGAAACAGGTGATTCACGCACGAGTCGAGTTTATGGGGACAAAGGGACGAGTGCGGGAATTACCAAGCGCCCGTGTGGCGAATATTTTTTTAACACGCCCTGAGCGAAACGCGATGCGTCAAGTAAAGGAATATCATTTGAATATTCAATAACTAGAAATATCTTCCTTCAGATTCAGTCGGTGTCGAAACACTGTTATTTGTAAATAACAAACGAAGACGTCGTCAAGACAAAAGACAATTGCGAATCGTTGCAGATGTTTCGCGCACTTTACGTAACGAGAATCCGCGTTGTGTGGGGCCGCGCGACGCCGCAAAGCCGAGGCTGCGATTGATCTGTTGTCTCTTCCTTCCGGCCGCAGGTCGCGCGTGGCTTCGGCTGCCAGCTCTTCGCGCGAGCCACCGCCCAAGCGCGTCGGCCGGAGGAAGCGATGGACGCGGGGGGCGGCCAACAGGAGCAGCCCGCCAAGCGGAAGAGGTCCGACGAGGGGGAGGGACGGGGGCAGGAGGAGGAAGCGGAGGAGGGGATGGCGGAGGGAGAGGGGGAGGAGGAGGAGGAGAAGGAGAAGGAGCCACAGCCTGACTTGGAGGTGCGCCTGCGCCTGGCGGAGAGCGAGTTGCGGCTGCGGCGGGTGAGTGCGAGCGTGTGCGGCCACTGCTGGGCCCAGTAGAGTCCCGTTAGTGTAGTGCATGTTGTGTCTCGGAACTTGTAGCAGAGCATTGGTTGGAATGGAGGCCTTCCCACGTGCAGCGGGCTTGCGTTGCTGCGGCAAGCAGCGGAGATCTCTCGCTACGCGAAGCGGAGGAGGGCGTACGCGCCACCGCTAGCAAAACACTGCTCTACTATGAGCCACGATGCTCAGAAGCGTCCGTCAAGCGGCAGGGCTCTTCGCCGATCCTCCGGCGACGACGGACAAAGGGACCGCAGCAGGTATAAACAGCAGCTCTGCGCTGTGGCCGTGGGGCAGTGGGAAGGCTACCACTTAAATCTGTGTTCTGCTAGCGGTGGCGCGTACGCCCTCCTACGTTTCTCGTAGCGAGAAATTTTCACCGCTTGCCGCAGCAGCGCACGCCCGCTGCACGTGGGAAGGTCTCCATTCAAGCCAATGCTCTGCTACGAGCGGCGGTGCTGGGTGGCGCACAGCGGTGGCGGCGTGTGAGGGGGCCCCAAGATTTTCTTCTCTATTTTGGCTTCTGTGTAGCCACTGGGAGCCATGTCATCGGCATACGCTGCTTGCAGCTTCTCCGACCACTCCGTGGTGTTGGGGCTGCGCGGACCGCGTGGGCGCCTTCGTGGCGCGGCTGGGGCCCTTCCTTGGGCTGCGGCTGCAGGGGGGGGGAGGCCTCGGAGTTGCCTCCGGGTTTTGAGAGGCTGCTTCGTGCGGGGGCGGGGCAGACTGGTGTGGCGGCGATGGCGGCTTAGCGCTTCGTGTTGGGCTTGGTCCCGAGTCAGTCCGTGTCGGGCTCCACTCTTGCGGATGTTTCTACGTTCTTCTTTCGCGGTGGGAGTTAAGGCCGTTGTAAGGAACCCTCTCGTTGCCCGTGTGCGTGGCCATTTCATTTCTTCCTGGCCTGGAGGGGGAGTTGGACCGAGGGTGCGAGCTGTAGGCGAGTGGGGGCCCTTCTCTTGCCTGGCGCGAGCGGAGGGGCTGTGGCCTGTGTGGTGGATGGGTCGTCAGTTTCGGCGCTTGCCGCGCCATCGGGGGCGCCACAGGGCAGGGATGTGTAGTGTATTTTATGATGCCGACCATACGTCTGTTCGTTTATTGTATTGTTGATTGTGAGATGACTAGGATGAGATTTAGTATTGTTCAGGGTGAATGTGGATGCAAAGTGATGGATAGCTCTTCGGCTTTCCGAGAAGGTGTGTTCATTTTTCCTGTGGGGTGTCTAGTGGGGGGGTGGTATTCTTTTTTCTTAATATTTTGTTAGTACATTGCCAAATGGATTTGTTGTTAGTGTTTAGTGATTGCATTAGTGTTTGAAAATGCTGATTATTGAAGTTTTTGATGGATTTACGTACTATTTTTATTGGTATGTTAAGTTCTAGTTTTAGCCCTGGTGTTCTTAGTTGTGACCATCGTCTGCGGGTTTTGTTTTTGATTTGTATTAGATTTAGTATTTATGGGGGATTTGTTTATATTTGTTGGTATTCTTTGGTTTTAATTCCCTCTCTTTAATTGTGGTGTGTATCATGCTGGTTACTTTGTTGATTGATTGCTCTTTTTCCAATGTGTTGCAGTGAATTTTAAATTTAGGTATTGTTGAACTAGTTAAACATTTGGAATCTTTTCCAATCAACTTTCAACGTATTTGGCGCGTGGGGGGGATGTATTTGCTGTGTAGTTATTAAGACCGGAATGTGATCCAAGTCTACTTCGAATAATGTAGTAGTGTGTAGTTTAATTTTAGTGTTAGTAATTCCGGTATCGAGAATATCGGGAATTCCTCTACAAATAATTTATCCATTTCAGTAAAAAAATCTACAGGTATATAGTACTATTATAAAATAAAATAATGTTCAGCTTCAAAGAATATCACTGTTGCTTAGCACATGATTCTTGGATTAAATGTTAAAATTATCTATATTCTTTTATTAATTATTAATAAAAATCGAAAATGAAAATATAGGCTCCAGAATGTCTCACCAGGGTGTTTCCACATTTTTCCTTCGATCGCACCGCGATTTTCGGCAGCAGCCTGTTATTACCAAGTAGTACGTATTTTCTGCAATTTTCAAGGTAATAGTGAAATGAATTAAAAGTATTTCCCAATGAGCTCAAGCAGGGACTTCAAATAATTCAAGAAAACAAATTCGAGAGAAAACATTATTGATACAAATTTTTAATCATTAATAATACGGTGTGTGCCACCGTTCCGTCAAAATGCATTTTTCAGAATAATTTGTTTATAATCGATTTCCTTGCTAGACTTTAAGGATATCAAAATGCAGTTTGCACCACTGAATACAATGTAGACAAACATGAAATAAAATATTACCTTCACATTTACAGGACAACAGTTTTGGCTTTTTGATAATTGATTTATAACGTAGGCAAATTAATATATCAAAATGCACATTAGCAACACAACGAACCCCTTCCTATTTTAGAATTTAAAAAAATGGAAATTATTTATATTTTTTAATGTTGCAAAAGTAGTGCATTTACTAATTTGTCTTTAAGAGAGATGCAAAATACCGCAATCCGGTCGACGCGATCGTCTTTCGTTTTCGAGGTATGTCATTGTTTATAAAAAAATTAGCATCTCATGACAACTCCTTTTTGTGTTTTTGTGGTTTTACTCTTCTATAATATTGTCATGTTTCATTTTGACCCTTAGCGGAGCAAGACATTTAGGAAATATGAGAAATGTGTTTATGCCAGAGGGCAGTGGGTGAGCGTGTGGTCGGCAGGAGCAGGAGGCGGCGCTGCGCGCGCGGCTGGGCGAGGCGGCGCTGTGGGCGGCGGAGGCGGCGCGCGCGCTGGGCGCCGAGCGGCGGCGCGGCGAGGTGAAGGGCGCGGCCGTGGCCGCGCTGGAGGCGCAGCTGGGCGGCGCGCGCGAGGCGGCCGACGGGTTGCGCGTGCGCCTCGACGCCGCGTGCGCGCAGCGCGACGCCCACGCGCGCGCCGCCCAGCTGCGCGACGACGAGGTGGCGCGGCTCAAGCAGCAGCTGCTGCAGCACGGCCAGCACCTCAGCTGCCAGCTCGACCTGGAGAACGCCGCCGTCAAGTACCAGGCCAAGATTAAGGAGTACCTCCTCACCATATGCAGGTGCGGTGGGGGAATGGAAAGTTAGAGCGGAGGCTTCCGCCGCCGGAGTCAGTGTTTACTAGGCTGTCCGGGTGACGCCGCGTCCCCGGCGAAGGTGCCGACGTTTCGGTCGCCATTCTGCGACCTTCTTCAGGGCGTTATGCCACCTTCGCCATGGACTCGGCGTCACCCGGACAGCCTAGTAAATAATGAAAAGTTATTTATCACTATCAGGGACGAAAAGTGAATCATTTTGGATGACTAACGGAGTACAAATTCTTCAATTTCGTCCTAGTTGCATACAACTATTTTTCGTATACTACCTCCCAATTTCAGGTTTGAATTTTCAGAGAAATTTTATTTATACCATGCGGTTTCGGCGTATAAATGCAGATGTTCTTCTACATTATCGCCTCTCAATTTGTCAGTACTGTCACAATTGTTAAAGCGTGTACAATTTGCAGATAAGGAGCGTGATATTCCAGACATTTTAGTTGAAGCAGAAGCTGCTACTGAGAGTTTACTTCCTCAAAAACCAAAGGATTCGTACGAAACAGAGTAAGAACTCTTTTTAAAATGGAAAAGAGAAACGTGTAACCGTGGTAAATGAAACAACTATGCAAGCATTTCTCTTTGAAAAGATATTACTTCAATTTATGTTGAAACTCCTACCACGATTGCCCAGACCACGGAAAACGTATCTGTTCCGGTTACAATATTTCACAATATATCAAATTGTGATTTTTAATATAAATGTTATCAATAAATAAGTTAAAAACATTCTTTGTTAGAAAAATATATTCTCTTGTTTACTTGACGTTGCCATGGTAATCGTGCTTTAAAATTCATTCCTGGCCTAGGTCGCCAAAGCTCACATTTATGGCGCATAACTGCTCTGCCAAATACGGGTTTTGAAGTGAGGATACAAAAAATGTACTTTTGCATTTATTCCATTCGAATTAGTGTTTATTTTTATAGTTCAGTATCTTCATGTCACCGAGCGAAGTGGTTCAGGGCGTAACGCGCTGACTATGCATTCGGGAGGCCCGGGTTCAATCCCCATGCTGGCCATTCTGACCGGGATTCTCGTGATTTCCCTTGGTCGTACAGGCGAATGCTGGAATGTGCGTGATCTGGACTGTTCGGGTGACGCCACGTCGACGGCTGTGTTGCCGACGTTTCGACCATCTTGTCGTGGTCTTCATCAGGGCTAGTATGCATAGCACATTACTCTGGCCGCGGAAGCCTACGACTTCACGAATGCTGGACTGGTTGTACTGAAAGGCCAAGAGCAACGTCGCTAGCCGAATTCGTTAACGACGTGAAGTCAACAAGGTTAAGCGATTTCGAGACATCCGGATTCGTGGTTTGGTGACCGACTAGGAATGCCGGGATCTAGCGGCGTCGAGGCCAATTGCCCTTCACGAGACATATAATGGCTAAATACAAATCCCCGTGTCAAAGAACGTTTGAGTCCCTTTGCTTTGCCTCGCTGTTCAAGTTCATACAATATTGTATCTTAATTTTTTGTAGGGAATCATATTGTTCAGAATCCATGCTTTTTACGTTCTCGCTACTTCTACCGCGGTAGAAAGTTATGTAATGCTTCGCACAAAAATGGCGAATTTGTGGCAGAAAATCTTATTACAGGGTCATGCAACGAAAAGGTGAATAAATCCAGATGTTAAATTTAGAAAAAAAACTCTAGCGCATGTTATAGTCAAATTCCATGTTTTGTGGTTGTCCTTGATATAGAAAACTAATAATAATGATTAACTAATGTTAAACTAATAATATTATAACATAGTATACAAACGGGTACTACTTTCCGAACGTCCTACGTACATTTAAAAATTAATCTTTTAGAAATTATTTAAAGCTTGTTTGAAATATATGAAATAAAAAATTCTAGCCTTCAGGGAATTCCAGATTTTTATGCAACAATGACTTGGCAACGATTAGTCGGGAGCTATTTTCTATGACATCTTATTGTTGGGACATGATTTACCTGTATGAAAAGCAATTATAATTGTCAAATTTGTGTTGACATTTGCGTGAAAATATTTAATTTGAAATGAGTTTTACAAAACTTGAAGACTGAGATGTATTAATTCGGAGAGAAATAGCGGTATAAATAGTATTACTTAACTATTACTAAAGGCGGAAGAGTACGTGCTGTTTTAGCACCACCAGTTTTATTTCAAACACATTTAGTGAAGGGCAAATCGAAATTGTTCTCCTCCTCTGAAATACTTTTATTTTTTGTGTTATACGATTTACAGTTGTAAATTAGCTAGCAAACTTTTTGTTATCAATGTGTACTAGAATACTGTTAGTAGTATATTTACCATTTCATTCTCATTTTTTTTATGTTTACCAACCATTTTTTTCTCTTTACAGAAACGTTAAAATGCTTGAAGAAGAGCAAGAAATGCTAAAACAAAGTGTTACCAAAGTATCCACAATTAGTCTAAAAATGGAAAAGGGCCTGAATCACTACTCTTGTAAAGAAAAAATGTGGCTTGAAGAGAGAAGAACATTGGAAAAGAAAGTAGTAGAACTTGGAGGTAAAATATTTACAGGTCACATACGTTTTCAGATACATTAATAATCCACTCTGCTGTTTTCAACTCGTAGTCTATTTCTTTAATTGTTCATGAGATTTATTTGAAGTAAGAAACAACTAACTTATAGACTTGCAAATGTAGAATTGTATTGAATAAGCTGCATGAAAATACATTGATAGAATATTTTCAAAACAACTCTTTATGTGCGTTCGGGTTAGGTTCTCAAACACAGCATTTTGAAGTGGGAAGGGGCCGTAACGTAAAATAATGTTCCAAAAGAAGAGTTGTTACTACTCAATTTAAAAAAATAGATTCTCAAACAAAAATTTGTGTATTTGTGTAAATATGTAATGGTGCGCCGAAAAACGCAGAATGTTCGGCAGAAAACCCCTAGCCCTGATAGCAAAATAGTAGATAAATTCTTTTGCTAATTATAGAAAAAATATTCTAAAACGTGGTGTAGCCAGAATCCATGCGACCTTCACACCGAAAAATCGATTGACGGCAAAATCGAACCGAAAAATCGATTGTCCGTGCTAGCGCGTAAACCGTCCAGCTGATTTTCTTCAAACTTAACATTCCACAATCAACCAAAATTAACTTAAGGTTTTAAGAGTTTCAAATGGATATTTTGATTTTTGAGGGTACTTTACAGGTTAAAAACATTTTCAAAATTTTCTCAATAATAGCACCAAATTTCTTGACGTAACTTTGTTCTGGGATAGCGTAAAGGATCGAATTTCGTCCTTTACGAAAGAGGATGGTACAGATCTCACGTTCGTTGTAATCCCAGATTTTTTGAAAATCGTAAAAGTACAATTTTATGGGGGCGTCTTCCTAAATTATACTATTGAAGATAGGGAAGATTTTTCTCAATGAAATCTGTTTCTTAGAGACGGATCTTCAAATAAGTTCATGTTCAATTTTCCGAAAATATGAGTATTTTTTGAGCAATTTATAGAAAATTTTAAAAAATTTACATATTTTTCTCTCAAAAATCTCTTCACCTTTTGTCTTTAATTTTTTTCAGCTCGATGGATTGAAGAAATGCGGATAGAGTGGGGGTATTAGGTACGAAATCGGCTACTAGATTTTATGAAATTTATACGTTTTGGCGGCCCTGGTAAAAAAGATATATCGATGACTACTCCGAAGTATCTTGAAGTGTATTAAATTGCAAAAGTGTACAATGTTGCCAGATTAATATTAACCTTCCCCGTCTCTCTAGAAGGGGGTTCGTAGGACATGTCATCTTTGTGCGGAAGTTTTCTCACCTACCGGTGCCTTTGCGGGGTGCTTTTATGTGGACTTGTGGTCTGTGGCTATTAAGAGTGCCTGCGACAGTAACCGAACTTCTTAATCAAGTTCCGTGCAGTAACTGAAGTTAAGTGGCTCGGGCCACTGCAGGTCCTTGGATGGGTGACGGTCTGGGAACCCCGAATACAAACGGCGCTGAGCCCCTGGGCCGATGGGATAAGGTAATGACCGACTACTTCTCTTGATTATGAATGACTCAGGTTCAAGGATGATTATACCTTTCGGGCAACGCTGCAAAAGTAGTGATGAATTCCTAATACCTGAATTTCTTGATACTCTATACCTTTACCTGACTAAGAGCTTCGAAGACTCAACAACAAAAGTGATTCAATCAGCATTTGAAGGATATATTTTGTTTTTCATACATACATGCATTTATTATTTTAATATTTAAAAACTATTGAGATGAACATACATTTTTTTAAAGTTTTTAAACATTCTTATAAAGGAAAACTCACATTCTCTTTGTGGGTCCATTCTCTTTGTTTTTTGTCACATATCAATCCCGCTGTACTGAAAAGTCTAGAACACTGTAGCTGGTGGAATGCACAGGTATCGAACAGCTCGTTTTCTTAAATTGGGGAGAATCACTTTGTTTTTCTAGTAAGATAGCCGATCCATTGGGGCAAGCAAGCCCTCGTTTTAATTCATCATGTACACAGCTTGATGTTTCATGGTCACTCTTCAGAATATTCGTATGAAGCTACCACATTCCATGCATTTTCGAGGGTTCAGTAGTGGAGGGTGCCTATTAAAGGAATTAAAAATTTTGAACAATAAATGCTTGTCTTTAATTTGAAATTTCTAATGTAGATACTGAAAATGAGTTATTTGGAATTATATACCGTGACTACATGTTTTTTAACTTTTGAAATATCGGAGAATTAGAATTGTGATTTAAAAAATAGGGTTGTTTAAAGTTAAAATTAGAAATCGGCAACTCTTTACCTCAACTTTTGAAGGCACTAGATGTGTTTACTGATTTTCATGATCAATTAAACACAGCACTCTCACGGAAAACTAGACGTTTCAGCCTATTATCCGTTCGCTCTAAGAAAAATCCAGATGTAAACAAATGCACGTGTGTTAGGTTGCTTCTCATTGGTTTGGCAGTGTGACCTCAGCTGTGGTAGGGATCCTGACGCTAAAGTAAATAGTTCTCTGAATAAGAACTAATTTATCTTCCATCGTTCGTTAAAACTAGGAGACCATCGTGAGCTGACCGCGTGTTGCTTCGCGATGTTCAGAGCCCCTGGACGCGCTGGTCGCCGAGGGTCAGGGGCGTAGGGCGCGGCTCCTGGGACCGCACAGCCGCTCTGCCGCTGCGAGGCTCTTGTGGCGTCAGACAGGGTGCAATAATACACAGAAGAGAGGGGGCTTATCTTATTGCTAGTTTATTAATAAGGAATCCACCACCGAAATAAACCTTTTCTACAATAGTTTCACATACGAAAAAAATCGACCCCTCTACTAGAAGTAATTTTCATTCTACGAGTACTACACCCTCTTCTTAAATAACGAATAGATCCGATCGTGTGAAGCACCGCAGAATTTCTACTTGACTCGTCACATGAGTCTCTACTTCACGACAACGTACTTTGCCGGCCCTAGCCTACGCGCACGCGGTCCGCACCCCACCCGGCGCGCTGCCTCCCAAACGCTCAACTCGAAGACGAAAGGGGCCGCCTAGCTCGGCTGGCCGCGTCTTCCACCCCTTTCTCTGCTTTTTAAGTCACATCCTGATGCCCCTCTCTTAATGCAAGTGGTCTGCCATGCGGCCACGGGCCTTCAATAATTAAACACAAGCGTGGAACATTTAGAGTAGCGAAAAGCGCATCGTTCTGAAATGTTTAAAACAATTTAATATTTCTTATTTCACGGAAAATTACGCAAAATAACTCATATTTTCGAAAAACAAATTCCAAGGTTTGTCTAAAAAACAGATTTAATTAAGAGCAGCATCCCTATCTTCAATACAGTTGAGGGAAGGCGCCGAAAAAATTGCAGTTTTCGAAAAATCAGAGATTTTAATGAAAGTTATGCTTGTATCTTTCTTTTAGGCGTTCACACTTAATTACAGTATGCCTAACTATACTTTAAGCAAAGAAAAATTTTAATTTACAAATTTGATGTCATTTTAAAAAATATCAAAATGTTTTTGAGGCTCCTTGTAAAGAACCATTAAAAATCAAAATATCCGCTTCAAACTCGTAAAACCTCGAGTTCGTTGAGATCGATCGGGGGACATCAATTATGGAGAAAATCGGTTTATGCACTGGCGTTGATCACAAACGGACAGATACGAAACGGCCGAACTATGACGCCACCAATCGATATTTTGGTATCAAGAACCCATAAAAAATGGATTCTGACTAAACTTGCTAGAAGAAGTGATTTACTCTATATAGGATCTCTATTAAGTTGCCAAGAGCCAATAATAAAATGTTTCTGTTAAAAATTCTTCTTACGAAGTAAGTCAAAATCAAATTTGTAGCTCGTTTATCGATGCAAATACGTTTCCTTTGACGTGAGCGCTAAAATGTCTAATTTTAAATGTTACTAACCTCGCTTTGTTGGAACTTTTATTTACCATTTAACTATTTATGATTAAAGTAGGGAAGAGATTCTGGTACTCAAGAAAAAGTGCGCAGATTGCAGTACCTTTCCTTCATACGTCACATACAGTTTTGAATGTTTTTACATAATAAAGCAAATCATCTTTTCGATAATAATTGATTAACTTTAAGTAAAAGTTTACTGTTTTCTTTGAGTTGTGTGACGTGAGAAGCCGGTCAAAAAATTACATTTTTGTAATTTTTAAAAAAATTATTGCCATTTAGGTCCAGGTTTAACTGTTCTTTAATATTCTTAAAATATTTCCATTCTACCATTAGGAAATCGAAAAATTAAGAAAATTTCAAAAAATTGTACTTTGAGCGACGATAGATGGCAACTGGCAAGAGTATGTGGCAAGTCCGAGTATCTACCTGAGACCGAAAAAATAGAAAACTAATACGGGAAAGTCTGTTTTGTACCACTACTAGTTAATTTGTATTATTCAGTAAAAAATTGCGTCCTTGCTCTACTATTGCGTCCTCGAAACTAGAATTTTCAAATGAGACAAGGGCTATCAACGATGACCTGGTAAAAAACAAAAAAAAATACAGAAAAAAATGATGGCAATCCGTGAGCTCGAGTGATCAATTTGAATGTTTTCTACATTTAATAAAGAAGGAAGAAAATATCTAACTATTCTAATGACGTTGAGATTTTAGGTCTAGATTGAGGAATAATCCCCAATACTTGGATTTTTCCTGATATTTTTGTTGTTTAATGTGTTAAATCAACCTGTTATAATAATAATAATAATAATAATAATAATAATAATAATAATAATAATAATAATAATAATATTTTAGCTGAAGTGGAGAGTGTGAAAATACAATCAAGAAAAACAACTACCGAAAGAAGCAAATACTATGAAGTGAGTACTCAACAATGTTGTTAATAAATCTTGTGATTTTTATAATTCTATCCCAAAATTATTTCTTCTCCAAAACAGAGCATTATTTCTGACCTTCAACTCAATCTTAAAAATGAAATTGAGAAAAATGCTAAGCTATTAAAAAAGATTGAATGTATACAACGTACTGAAATGAATTATGAACAAAGAATAGAAGAACTTATTCATCAGGTTCATGAAAAGAAAGAGCAAATTGATCTTTTGGAAAAGGAAAAGGCAGACCTTCACAACAAGTTGAAACACAATGAAAGAGAAATGGAGTATGTGTATTCACACAAAACCCTTTTTTATTAAACTATTATACTTTTGTACTATTATTATTATTGCAATGTTTTTATAAATTACAGGATTTTGGAGAGAAAGCATAAATATGAACTGGATTACGCTTTGCAAAAGCCTCTTGCCTTTAGTTGTGAGACACAGACTGATGACCAAAAGGAAGACAACGCGCATTTTCAAGCGAATTCTTCTGGCTGCGCTTTATGTCGTGCTCGAGCCCCAAACATCTCTCCACAAAAGCGTCGAGGCCGAGAAAGTACGTCTCCTCACACTATCCAACCAAGCATTTTAAGCATTCCACTAAGTCAAAATACAGAAGGACACGGATTCGAACCCTATTTTTCTCATTACAATAAACCTTTTATGCCTTACTACACTGTGCCAAGCACTGACCTTCATGGTAAAATTGAGCCTATTTCATTAGATTCACTTGGACCAGTGGATGAAAGTGAGAATCTTCAGTGGTACACTAGGAGAAATGATTTAGAAGAAAATGTGCCGCAGAGGTCAACAGTTATTAACCAAAACACTGCAACGTGTTCTCTTACTTTAAATAACGGAAGAAATAGTCCTCCAAACGATGAATATAACCAAGCTTTAAGAAATACAATTTTTCATGAAACCCAAATTTCTACAGAAAGTGAGGGTCAGAAAGAAAAGGAATCTCCAGCACCAGAAAAGGTTGAATCATGTCATAAAAAACATGACGAAAATGAAATTGCTGCTCCTACAAGACCTCTAGACATTAAGACTCAATTCCCAGCTGTTGTGCCAGAGAATGAATATCAATCTCAAACTACTAGTAAAAGCAATGAGAAACTAGCAACATTTTCTGAAGTTTCACAGAATATTACAGTGGACGAAAATGTCAACAGAAACCCATCTAATGCCTTATTGTCAGAAAATACTTCCATTCATACAACTATTGTGTCCTCAGTCCAAGACAGTAACGTGGACACACCAGAAAACACTGACAAGGTAGGTCTTTAATGCACGTTTTTAATGCATGAAATATGTTTAACAGTTTTTTTGATTACTTGCATATGAATTAATTTACTCTTTCTCTCTCTATCTCTTGTTAGAAATTACATCAAAGCACAAAGTTTAAAAGGCGAGTGCTTAAAGTATTACACTGAACTAAAACGTGAACTGAACGAGTTATGAGGCGCTGAAAAGAGCCTCAATGCCAAGAAACGTTTCTCATTTTACAGAAATTCTCTTGAAAAGTAATAAGAGAAGAAATGTAGGTGACAACATTTCAACTACGTTATACTTAAATGATAGTAATTCATTGAACTTAATAGTTTTCAACTTGTACATTCAGGAGATTTCTTTCTAAGCTAGATGTACTGTAATTTACATATTAGTAGCTATTGACAACCTTCTTTTATGCACTCTATACGCATATTTCATTTCACAAGGGAAGCTTCAATTAAAAATATCACATAAGACAGTAATATTCAATGAAAGGTTTTATGAACACGTGTCATAAGTACTGTGACTGATTCTTATCAAAGAGTAGAATATTTTGTTATTTGTTTTGAAATCATTACGTCTGCTATTGCTTTTGAAGGAACAAACCTTTAAATATCAGTATTTTAAAGGAATCTTACTTTATAGGTTTTTATTTGGAAATGTATAAATTAACTTTAATTTAACTATTCCCTAATGTCAGAAAAATTGTAAATTAAATGGAGTTCTGATGTTATATTATTATATTTATTAGAATCAAATTGTAAAATGCTCATTAATGAACTGTTTTTTTTTTCTTCAAATACTCTAATATTTTTATTCTTTGCTAATAAAACAAGATTTAAAATTCTATTATCTGCATGTCTACAAATTCTGAATTTCTGTAGACTATTATGAAATATAACTATCAAGAAATACGTTTAATGGGCTTATTAACTTCAAATCTACACTCGTACAAATTACGTACAAAAAACAATTCTTAAATTGGCATGGATGCAGATTGCAGGGCATTTGTCAGATGATGGAATCATCTGACAAAAATTGAGATATTACCATGTATACAACTCTCAGCCTTCCGCTGAAACTACTATAACATTTTGACACACGGCAGAGTAATGCAGTTCAGCTCGTTGGAGATTCCTCAGAGTTAACTCCGGTGGTGGTTTCTCGGGGCAGGAATGTCCTCACATATATCCTTCTTCTAAATTTAATTCAGAAATACATTTTTTTCTGGAGTTTTGAGAGAAAATGTATAAATTTATAGTTAACAGCTATGAGGAATCGAATGTCTAAATACGTGTGCTTTTGATCGAAGAGAAGACTTGAAATCGCTCCCTAGAGCAACTGTCAACTTTTCCTTCTGTCCTGTGTTAATCGCCAAAATCTCACAGCGCTTCTGCGGTCACAAGAGAAAACCTTTATAACGGAGACGTAAGGGCCGGCGGGACGAGTTCCTTCCTTAATTGTACTGGCATCTATCGATGACTTCTTCAAATTAATCTACGCGTTCTAAGACATTGCGACGCGATGATCAAGGACAAAGGTTGGCACATGGTGTAGCGAACGATGAGGGGAAATACACTCGTGGGTAATCACACACACTGTATGTCGCGGGCTTTGTCCGGCTGGTGCTGCTACATCAGCACCCACTGGCTGACGCAACATCTGCGGCGCCACTCACGGCAGCCATTTTCCAGCCGCGTTGTGGCCGCAGTCAAGAGAGCTTTATTTTTAATGTGTTTAATGTAATTTTTGTCAGCTATAATTTGCGAGGTAAGTGCTTTATGTATAAGTTGCTTTATGTAATGTTTTGCATGTAAACAACCTGCCCTAGATGTAACCTTTCATTTAATTGAAGATTTGTCAAGGTATTTGACGTAGGAGCCGAGTTCTGCTTAGGTTAGTCACCGAGGTCACTAGAGTATTGGCACGCGGCTGCGTAAGTGCCTAGAATTCGTCTTTGATAATAAAAGTAGTAGTGAATTATGCATTCTTAGTGGTTTAATTACCGTCGTGCGGCCATGATCACGCCAGAAACCTTTTTACATGAATAACTTGAGTCTAAATGAAAGCTATGCCAATCAATTGCTCTTTTATTCCCGTCGCATACGATACAAATGCATGCCATCTGTAAATTTGCGTATTGCTATCCCATGACTTTTCTCACATCGCTTCGAGATTTAAAATTCTATTATCTGTATGTCTACAAATTCTATACTTTCGTATACTATAATGTAGTAAAACTACCAAGATATATGCTTTTGATGAGTTTATTAACTTAAATTATATACAATTCTTCAAAAGGGCATATAATCAGATTGCCATACCTGGCAAAAATTTAGATTTACCATGTATACAACTCTCAGCCTTCCTCTGTATCTAGTATACAATTTTGACAAGTGACAGAGGAATGCAGTGAAGCTTCTTGGAGATTCCTCAGAGTTCACTCCAGAGGTGGGTCCTCGGGGCAGGAGAAGCGCGTGTACTGCGGCGGGGTTCTGGCCTCGGGTGTCTGCCTTTAACGTCGCGCTCCGGTCGGGAGTAGGGTAAACGGCGCAGCGAACTTGCCGCCCAGGCTGCCGGTGGCCGAAGGCCGGCGCTCACACAGCGCTCCCACGAGCGTCTTCGTTGTTGCCAGGGTCCGGGCTCCTGGCGGTCACGAAACGAGCAGATTCCGCGGCGAGGGTGCGACGCTCTTCGCGCACATTCGGCGCTCGATCGTTCTCCCGTGCAGTCGAAATCTCAGCCAGGGATGGACCCGGGACCGCACGCGCTCGTTAATTTAGCTGCAACAGCAAACTTGTTACTGAGCAAAAATCACGCAAAATCATTTTCCATGAAGTAGCGAGCACTCTGCTCAAGGGCAAATGCAATACCCTCGAATATCGCTGCAGTCAATTAAATGCTATAACAAAGACATTCTTCACGAATTCTGCAATAATATGGAGTAATATAGGGAAGCGCAGAAAAAAAAGCCTGATTTCAGTCACGTAGTACAGATACACTGTTTGCGTATGCGCGTCATAGCTATGTTGTGACATACCGAAGAACGCAGGCTTCTGTAGTATCCTGTACATATACTTACACAAATACGAAGTTTACACTACAAAAAGATTAAACCTACATCATGTATGTACGTGTTTGGTAAAATGGAGAGTTGTGTGACAAGATATATAAATCAGCATTTAAATGATGTCTTTAATATGTAGAAACAACTGGAGGCCACTTTGAATAATGTCACTATGAGAAATTATTTTGTATGAATCATTAAAGCTACAACATACTGTAATTCATTTTTGATTAATTGACTTATGCCGCATCCTGTTTTATTTTCTAAAGAAAGGATCCAAAAGGAAAAACGAGATCTTAAACAAATAATACAAATAACTGCAGAAACTAATTCCTCAACTATTCTCTCCAAACCTAAACATCATCAAATATTTATCTTTGATTATTGTACAAATTGTGTTGCCATTGTCATTAATTTTTTTATTTTAAAGGTTTCAGTGATGGACAGTACCTTCTCTACATGGCAGCAATTGCAGTCCACAACAAAAGAAAAATCGCCTTGAGGCATCTTCTCAGCTCTGACTCTACTGAATTTTACATGATCCCCCACCTACGAGAGAGAAAGAAAAAATAACTAACATGCTCATTAAAATAAATTATAAAAATCAGAATTATTGACTCTTTATATCTACCATGTAGCAAATGTTCTACCATGTTAGTTTATATCTGTCATCATGAATTTCCTTACAAAAATACCTTTCAAAGCAGAATTTGGACACACTGTCTCATCAAAATGTGGATGAGATTAATGAATACAGTAATAAAATCATTTACACTATTTTCAAAATTAGCATATAAACTGTAAAAGTACAACACAAAATTTTAATATAAAAATTTACTCACTTTCAAGTTCTTAAAGGATGGGGTTAAATTTAAAAGTTTAATGACAATGGTATGATGGAGACGAAATCCACAATGAACACGAACAAAAGAATATTCCCCACAAAAACTAAATGCAGATACCTGAAAATGGAAAAAATCAGATATTTAGCATAAATAATGTACTAATGTTGATTAATAAAATTAAACAAAACATTGTGTATCAAAAAACTAAGAGATATCTGAAGGGTTTTATTTCAATTTGTCAAATTGGCAAAAAATAAAAGTGATCGACAAATAATGCTTGAATGTAATCGACAATTCCATTCTTGAAATTTCCAATTTGCTCCCAGACCACATACCTCACCGTAAAATTTGAAGAATCCTGTACATTTTATATGGTTCAGATTGCGAATTTCCTTTTCTCGATTTACTCTCATAATGTTCCGTATATATTTATCACAACCTGCAAATCATTATTTCTAATGAGAAAATGGAAAATGATAGCAACTTACTATCGAATTACTATAGCAGTTGTAAAATTGGGATCTTATCACACGAAAGCTACAATGGAATATTTCTAGAAACTTTGGACACAAAAATTATCTAACACCAATTTGAAGACATACATTTTGGAGTGATTTTATTTAATGATATTTAATCAATGCTAAACTTCGATTTTTTTAACGTGGCGCGTAGCGTAAATCAGCTATTAGGGTGTTATACAGTCGGGAGCTTGAACGTCGTCACGGTGACGTTTAAGCTCATACAGTCAACGGGATTTACATCATGTTATAAAACTGAAATATACATTTTGTTCAATTGTGTCAATATCTTGAAACTATATCGTGAATGCTACTTTTAATTCATGCACAATTGTTTCTAGATGTAAGTTCTTTTAACAAATCAAAACGTCATATCTACACAGAAATCTGGGACTTCACAAACAAAAGTTTAGAAAGCAATAGCTCTGGGTGTTTGAGGTCACAGCAAAACATTGGTTTATATTCCATTATTCAACACTATAGAGAACGCAGATTTGAATGTAATGATATAATTTGTGCCACAGTTGAAAAAGACGAAGTACATCTATTCAATTCTGCAGAAGTGGAAATAATTAATAATATCGAGAGAATTTGATTTTCAGTTTAAAAAATACGTCCTGCAATTAAAATAGAGTAGTATCCTCTTTTGCACATTGTATGGAGGTTAAAAATTACATTATATTTTTCTAGAAACAAGCACATGAAAATAGCATTACCTGCAACTCGAACAACTTCTGTTTGGGTTTTACGCATCACTAATGTGGCACCAATCATTAAAAACAAAGAGACATTTGCCTTTGAGGTTGCAAATCCAAAAGGTTTCTTTGATTTTTTTCCCTAGAATGGTAAAAATTATGTGCATTTTATGTCAAGTTTCAAATTATAACAAAAATTTAGAACAAACAAACAAATGTTTTTATTTGTCACTTTAGTTGAAAACTGATACGATTTAGAATTAAATGAACATTTTTTTTTTTAACCAGCAGGAATACAAAGTATATTACAAATTTAACCATCAAATAGAATTTGATAAGACACGTGACGCATGTGACCAGGATATTACCCATTATCTCCTCTTTTATCTATAGAAACATACCTCCAGAGAGCACACCACATTGGGTCATGTGAATTAAAGAAAATTGTGCGGCGTTGCAATAACATAGAGGAGAGAGACAACTAGAGTGCGCGTGAACCTACTGCGCAGGTTTCAACATGCGGTGGCCGCAAGTCACGTGACTTTGGGACACCGGTAGCTTGTTTTACGTTGTATTGTGTGTATTACTCGGGCAACTTTTCTTGAACAATGGATTGACGATTTCGGGTGGAGTGAGGGTATTAGTTACAAAATCGGCCACTAGAGTATTTTAAGTAATGCCAACGTCCGTGAAATTAAAGTCAAAACTGCATCTTGTGCTTAACTTTTTTCGGGAGTTTAAAGTGACTCCCTTGAATGACCTGGACCTGACTAAGCCATTTCTTTCGGTATTGACAATAAACCTGAACAGGGTTTCTGCATTATGAAAGCAATTGGCTTTGACCAGCTTCTGTTTCGCGCCAACGAAAATTTAATGTTTGGAAGGTTGTCATCAGTGCTCGCTGCGAGCTTTTGCCTTCAACTGTTTATTGCACAAGGGAGGGGGATCAAGGTCATCGTTCAAGAAAACTTGCGCGAGTAATACCTTTGCGCGCTGTTTGTTATTTCTGGTGCTACAGCGTAATTATTTGGGGCCTACAAGTTTAGCCAGGATCATCTGGAAATGTTTTTCAGCTGCATACGGAGCAAAGGCGGATTCAACAATAATCCTTCTGCTAAGTAAGTGTGCTGGGGCTTACAAGCAATTACTGGTACATCACCAGATTTCTTCTGCTTTTGCAAATTGTGTTCCACAGGATGAAACTATATTAAATGTTAGTTCACGCCAGTCTGCAAGTGTGTCACATGTGAAAGATCCTGAATTATGCACTGAGGTGCCAATTGACCATATGTACTTGCCATCAGTAGACAATCTTGAAACTAGATTGTCTCCCTATGTTGTGGACATTGTAACGTATATTGGAGGATTTGTAGAAAAAAAATTGGAAATGTCACTTGCTTATTTTGACTGTAAGATATTTCTTTGCCGGACTGATAGTGATGAAGGATCATATTCATTCAGAGGAAGGATGATCATGGGCTGAAATACCCTTCTGTAGATGTTGTGAAAATCTGCAAAAGAGCAGAAGTAGAAGTATACTTCAAGGGAGAGGTGACATTTTTAAAAGGGCAGCTTACACTACAATTGTAAATAGATGTTTGAGAGAATTTGTACATAATTCCGTTTTTTGTAATTTAACTTATCATATTATTGGTCAAGAGGCCATGCTGAATTATAGGATGCATTTGATTAAGGCAATATTATTTAAATATATTGAAATTAGGTTAAAACATATAGGAAGAGAAAATACTGAAATTTACCAGAAAAATAGAATTAGATCAGTTAATAAAATTATTTTATTTAGAGGGCATTAATGTGTGTGTATTTATTGGTGTTAGTATATATTATGTATTTACTGGTGTAAGTTATATTAGTGTTTATAGTTTGTATGATTGTAAGTATTTGATTTTTATTAGTAATTTCTTTGAAAATTATGTATTTCAGCTCCGGGGTCAAAGATCCCCCATTTCGATCAGGTTTTTGGCCAATTTCCCTGATCCATTGAGCAAATGCTGCGATGATCCCTTGTTTTGCCTCTGGACGTAAATGTAGCCGAGCACTCCTTTTGCTTGCAGAGGTAGGAGTAAAGCCTATGTTATGTTATTGTTTTGTCAGTAATACCAGAAAAATAAAACCTGCAGTTTGTTTAACGATGCAAATAAGTTTTGTATAACTTGGGAGGGGAAAATGTCTAATGTCTATAGTTGAAATGTTGGGAAGAGATTTTTGAGCTCAAGAAAATGTGTACAGATGGTACTTTTGCTCCATATGTCACACACAGTATTTACTGTTTACTACTACACATACAGTATGTTACTGTTTACTGTACCTAAATAAATCAAATGTTTTTCTACTAATCCTTGAAATATTTTGATAACTTGTTATATGTCTGATGTGGATTACCAATAGCAGAATGTCTAGCATTGAGTAGTAACAGAAACTTGGATTAATGCCTCACATGGAGTTAATTTATTTTACAAATATTTTTTATTTATTGTCCTATGTAATAGTACTTGTAAAACAGGTGTAGTGAGGTACGCGGTTGAGAGTGACAAGTTGGACCAAAATCGGAATTTTCATGTACTTAATTAAATAGAGCAGAATAACTTAAAGTAACTTTTCTGTTATAAGCAGCATTCTTAGGGCTGTGTAATACATGAGAAAATAACGCTAAAGTGAAGCATGTTAGATACTTAGTACGAGACGGGTGTATAGCAGATGCCTCGCAGCTACCCCAACGTCAGCACGAGAGATGTTGATACCCGGCTGGGCCATCTGCGCACCCTGGTGCGCACTATGGTATATCTCTACTCTATGTGCAATAAGCAACAATGGCCGCTGATTCATATGGTATACTCAATTTGCAAATCAGCATTATCGATGCCGCTAACAAAATGCAAATGGATAGATAAATATAATAATTAAATACAATAGATTGTTTAAATATAATTAAAAATAAAATGTTACATTCAACAAAGCTACTAGTTTTTTACACGAATTACTCGTCATTCCCGCACCTTGTTATGCAAAGCAAAATGATTCATTCGTTTTCGCATTTAAATTCAATGAAATGACATGTGGCGTCATATCAGTCGCCTTGCACAAACGTGACAAAATATTAGCCACGTGCATTTCATGCTCATGAAATGCACGAGGAAGTAATTGCAACAGCGCTGGTGGGAAGGGACGCCGAGCTGAACAATGGCAAACCTAGGGAGCGGGAGGAAAGGGGTGCCGTGTCGTGGGTGGCCACTTGTGAACCCCGTAGACCACTTGGGGAAACTTGTGAACCCCGTAGACATGCTGGTTGTGGAAACACGTCGGCGGAAAATGCGAGATGACGCAGTTCCGTCAGGCGGCCCAGAAGGTAATATAAACGGACCCCGTACCTAAACTCCTTCTTCTGATTCTTGAGCGCGTCGGTAGGAAGTCGTGTGGGTTGTGCGCGGCGCTGCATTTCAATGCATAGGCAACTGAGACAGGGAACTGAAGCCAGCGTGCTACGTTAAGACGGGAGGTGCGGCATACTCGCTTGTATGCTCACATAGGCAACTGGTGCATCACCCCGAATAAGATATCAAATTATCAGGCCAACGGTGGTGGTGATCAGGAACATTCCTTCTGGTAACGGGTCAATATTGTTTATTATAATTATTGTAAATAGTATTCAGGTGTTGGAGCATATTTCAAATAAATACTCAAATTACAAACCGTTCACGTCTGTGATTTATTGCCCCAGCAACGACGCCACAGACACAATGCTAAATACGAGTAGATAAAATGCTTAAATAATATTAAACGTAATCTTTCTTTTCAAGATACAAATGGCTGTGTCCAAGACAATTCAAATTAATACATTGCCATTTGAGTGACATCACCTCAAAAGAAACGCGGGAAATTCGAATTTACCATTTCGATTTTCTAAAATAGTGAGTGCGTCGAAAATGGAACCAGCACCATATTGTTCACTATTCTTTACTACATGCGTGAAAAAAGTAAAGAAAACATTAGAGCCGTTTCTAAGAAAATAATGGTTTAAAATTTTAAAATCGCTTTCTTCAATTTGGAAAGAAATCCTACGCATGGTTTAGGCACTAGTGGTATTCACAGACGGACGTTTTGGAAAAAATATTTTTCGGTATCAGGGGAACCCAAAACGTGTATTTGAAAACTCGAAATCAATTTTTCCGCAGCATTACATAACGAAAGGAACGAAAGTAAAATTGCCTACATTTCACTCAAAATTCTACGAAAAATACTCACATTTTCAAAATTTGTTCAGGATGTTAATCAAAATGTATCTTAAAGGAACAGATTTCATGAAGGGGAAAATTTCTATCTTTAATATTTTCGTTGTAGGAAGAATTTCAAGCTTTTGCAATTTAAAAAAAAATTAGGGCTTTCAAAATTTGATCTGCACCATTCTCTTAAACGTCCTTCACACTATACAATAACAACATTTAATCCATAACTATGAAACCATTTTTTTAAAAGTTGAAAATGTATCAGGGGATTCATGTAAAGTACCCCCAAAATAAAAATATTGGTTTCAAATTCCAGGAGCCGCGACGTCAGCCAGATCGATTGGGAAATCTCAATTTTGCAGAAAATTGGCTGAGTGGTTTAGCCGCTAGCGTTGGTCATAGACGGACAGATATTTTGCCTTCAATCGCTTTTTCGGTATCTAAGACCTACAAAACATGGATTCTGGCTGTACCACGCATTAGAAAATTTTATTTTCTAAATCTAGCGACTAGATTTAGTCGCTATCTACTTTTTCGTTCCCAGGGCCCGGCAATAAGAATTTTTTCCCCAAACATTTGCCGCTGTTTCCCACAGTATTACATACCTTTCTCGCCTTAAGAACTACCTTTCTAAGGCGAGAAAGAAAAAATACTTTCATTTTCGTTTCGTATGACGCGTGTCACCTCTAGTTCCCATCTTTTCTGGGCTGAAAACAAACGAATACTGTTGAAAGTAACGATAGAGCCTGTCTTCTGGTGTCACTTGCTCGAAGAATAATGTCTATATCTGACTTATGTAAACATCAAGCGTGGCAGTGGTGTTGAAAAAATATGTCCTTTAATTCTTATGGAACTTAACGCACATACTACTCCGATCTGTACACCGTGAAGAGGTTTTTCGTGAAGCACGTGAGCATTTTCTGCACTCCATTAGCGATTTTTTTGACTATTGGTGTATCCACTCTGATGAAATCACAGTTCATTACAAAAAAGAATCAGAATATATTCCGGAGGTGCCAAGAATACATTCGAGCCAAAAAAGACAACTTTCAGCATCTTCTATGTGTAAGTTAAGCGCAGCTACATACGATAGTTCTCGTATGTAGCACGGGAGTTTAGTCAGCGCTTCGCTGGGCGAGAAAGCCCCGGGTGTCGCGACCCGAATCTTTGGCGAACGAAAAAATGTACATCCGGTATTACCGTATTTCAGCCTTCCGTAATATACTTAAAATCGTATTTTAATTGTAATATCACAAACCCGAAAAATTTAGAAAACGTAAGAAAATAACTGTTGGCCGCAAAAAAGAAGGCAGCTCAGAGGACGGTAGGGCAAAACCGAAAAGTTATCCCACACTGAAGAAAACGGAAACCAGAATGAGAATGTCTGTGCACCACTTGTTATGGTTGTAGGTAATTTTCAACCCCAGGTGCCACACAACTCAGTAAATGTTTGGGGAGTATGGACCTTTTCCTGAAATAGAGTTAGAAAAATTTGGGTACCAGCAAAGACAGACTATTCAAAGACATTAATTTAAAATAATAATTGAACAAGTACTTACTACATAAACAATCATGTCAATTATTCTTATAATATTGTGGATTTCTGGTGGAATAGGATTTTCTTCACAGGTAGCAAAAAGATGCACAAGAAAATAACTCCCAAATGGCATCGAATCATCTACAATATGCACAGTAGATCCAATACAGTGTTGAAAACACTGGTTCGCCTGAAAAAAGAAGGTAAAAAAGTAATGTTTTAAGCAACTCAAATTTCTACTAGTTCTCTTACAAAGTACAGTATAGGTTTAACCAATTCTTAGGAGTAGTAAACGTTGTGTACAGAAAGTTATTTAATGATGCAGAAAAAAGAAGTGATTTTAACGAAAATACTAGTTTTTGAGTCCCTTGATATTGTGAAGCGCTGACGAGCCTGTCGCTTAGAACTCAATGGGAGGCAACGTAAAATTCGAGAGGAACGCATGTTCTGAAAAACGCTCTGATGTCTGAGCAGACATGGGATTCCTCACCAATGGTCCACGTGTCTGCACACGGTACCCAGAGACTGAGCCGTGTTAACGCACGGTCCCGGGCCCCCGATAGTTGTTAAAATTATATTTAATACTCAATTATAAAAGAATAAAGTAAAACGCCGTACAGAAATGGTATGTATGATTAAACTACGCGCAAAAAACGAATAATGGAGAGGTGTGTCGCACATCATTGGAAATATTTATAATATGGAATGTTGTTTACTGATATGAGAATGTCACTCGGTGATCATAAGTTTTTTTTAACAAAAGTTATCTTTATTTAATTAGTAGTCGTTTTCAATGTGGTTATAAACCTGTTATTCTTACGTATACATATGCGTTTAAATTGAAACACTACGAAATACTTTCAAAAGTTTTTAAAATTCGAAATACAATGTAAATTGACACGTTTATCTACATATTTCAGCACCGAAATGGGGGTCGGTGAAAGTACGAATAGGGGTCCCAAATTAACCTGTGCCCAAGGTCTCCGAATGCTGTTACAACGGCCGTGGCCGGAGAGATGTTGGCCGGCACGTGTCCTGTAGCCTGGTGGTCCGACGATGCCTTCCATCACGCTTTCTTCGGGTGTGCAAGTCACGTGCAACGCTCAAGGAAATAAAATATTTTTTTCCCCTTTGAGTTCATTTGTTTTCTTAATCTTTTTCGTTCCTCCGTGCGATCAGCGTTGTGGCTCGACAGCAGCGCGTCCATGCAACGCAGGCAGTGTGCAAGAGCAGGTCAGGCCGCTGGCGAATGCCTCCGACGCCATCGCTATCGGGTGGCGGCAGCGCACGCGCGTGACTACCCCCCCCCCCCAGTCAACGACGAAGCTGGCGAAGGCGTTGGATCTCGACTCCACGGCTTGCTATAGAGAGCGAGTGTCCCTGGTTGTCATATTCTCAATTGAGCGATGCAGCCTTTAGCGATACTCCGGAAATTATTTTGGTATGAATAGTGAAAAAGTTTTAAATAATTGCTTTACTTCCCTTTCGTATGAAGAAAAGAAACGAGTAATTGATAATTGGGCGACCATGTCCAAACAACCTAATAATAATATTTCAGAATTTAATTTTTAAAACGACAACCGAAGAATAGAATTTTTTAAAAAATATTTTAAAATGTATTATTCCAATCTTTGCTACAGAAACTACAAACCTAACCACACATTTTACTCTAAAATGTGTAAGCGAAAGAGTAATGTGGGTGTTAACACTGGCAACGCCCAAGATCCAGCGTGAGGAGACGCTACTGCTTAACACCGCTGCTCCGAAGGCTGTCTTACGAAGGGGTTCAACGGACTAAGTGACGGCAATTAACTGAGACCACCAGCAAACTTTCTTGATCGCATCGATGTGACTGCTTTCCTAAACTCTCCCAGTTTTTCGAAATGCTACCGAACGTGTCTTGGTGGCATGCTCTGTAAACTCTTACTTCCATTCTTGACGACCGCCACCCAGCGCCGTGCTAACGCAAGGTCCCGAAGGATTTCGATATTTCTTAAAAAGTATTTAATACTATTTTCTTTTCAAAAACTAAAATTAAAAATGCATGATTAAACTATAAGCAGAAAATTGGGAGAACGGAGTGATGTGTCGTGCATCATTGTGTAATATTTTTAATACGGATTGAATATTATAACGGTTTGAATAATGTTAAATTGAAACACTACTTTCAGTTATAATATTCACTAAGAAATACTTTCAAAATATTTTTAAAAATAATACAATTTACAATGTGAATTTATGGATTTTCTTTCTATTTTAGCATCGAAATCGGTGAAAGTAAGAATAGGCATCCCCAATGCTGTTAAAACGACCCCGCCGCGACCGCAGTCATATTTTAGGTGATTCGTGGTCGTTTACTATAAGTGCAAGATTTCTTGATATTCCACAGAGTGGTGCGGGGAGAGGAGGGCTCTGGCTACGTCACGGCTAAAAGGGCAAGAACGTACCTCGCCAAAGCGTGCCACGAGATGTGCCACGATTGTTTTGAAAGTACGAGGTGGTTGTTGCCAGTATTGTAAACTGACACGTGCCGTTCCGAGTCGAACCTTAGTATCTTAACGCGCCGTTCTATTCAGGGCTGGATGAGGACTAGGGAGCTCGTGAATCAAGAAAACTCGCGCGAGTAATAGTCATTAGTTGCATATGCAAGGACTGGAGACTTGCATTCGAGCAATTATCCCCGACTTGGAATCAGTGACATGACCAACAGACATATTGCCATTCCAAATTTGCTCGTTTTACACTATTCTTTCAAGTTTGCCCTTTTTCCAAATCAATGTATTTCATTGTCCGAATTCCATTAATAAAAGCAATTAAGAAGTTGAGTAAATTAATAAATTGAATTAAATATTTAAATGCCAAACACAGTACAACCATCGTAAACATTGAAAATTGAAATAATAGAACAAATACGAGGATTGTTCGATAAGTAACTTGGTTCGCATACTAAGAGATGACGAAAGCAACTTCTGTGAATTTTAATTGAAAGCTACAACAATATACGGTAAAATTTCATTGTTGCAAGTCATTATCACTCTAGCTGATTGTTGGACAGCGACTTGAACAAAAGCGTTGGCGAGTCAGTGTGAAAGATGGATAGAACTGGAATTCGTGGTGTTATCTAATTCTTTTTTATGGAAGGTAAAAACGCGAAATAAATCCATGACAGGATAGCGCCTACGTTGGGTGATTCATGCCCTTCGTATGAAAAGGTGAGACTTTGGTCAACAAATTTAAGCGAGGCACGACAAGCATCGAAAGTGCCCCAAGACCTGGGGCTCCAAAACAGCTGTGAAGGCCAGAAAACATCGACGAAATCAATGATATTGTTTTAGCAGACAGACGAGTGAAAGTGCGCGAGTTAGCAGAGGTCACAGGTATCTCAAATGACCGAGTGCGTTTTATTTAGCTTCATGAATTGAGCATGAATAAGCTTTGCGCAAGATGGCTGCCGCGATTGCTGACTGCAGAAATGAAACGAAATCCCATGAGAACATATGTCGAGCAGCTTGTTTGCAGCTATTCAAGCAAAATCCAGCGGATTTTTTTCGTTGTTTCGTTACCATGGACGAAACTTCGATTCACCGTTACACTCCAGAAAAAAGCAGCAGGCAAAACGATTGCAAGAAGAGAACCGGCTCCAAAGAAAGCGAAATGCAATCCATGAGCAGAGAAGGTGATGGTGTCAGACTTTTGGGACGCTAAAGGTATTCTTCTTATAGACTACCTGGAATAGGGAAAAACCTTCACTGGAAAATACTATGCATCACTTTTGGACAAACTCAAGGCAGCTATCGCGGATAAACGTCCTGGAATAGCAATAAAAATCCAATAATTATTCACCTGATTTGGCCTCCTCAGACTTTCACTTTTTCCCAAAATTAAAAACTTTCCTGGCTGGACAAAAATTTGTCAGCAATGAAGAAGCCATCCATGTAGTCAATGACTATTTCGAGGGTCTTGAAGAAAATTACTTTAGAGAAGGGATCCTGAACCTGGGGAAACGTTGGGCCAAGTGTGCTGAACTTCGAGGGGATTATGTCGAAAAATAAGGTGAATTACATAACTCAGATCATTGTTTTTCACATCGAAATAAGTTACTTATCGAACGCCCTCCGTAGAAATTCAAGTGAATAATATAAACAACTATGTCCAGATGCATTCAAACATACCTACCCTCGTTATTTTTACTATGTATCCATGAATAGAGCATTTTTGTGTTTTTTCATCGATCAAAGCAAGTTGTGTGAAGATCTGGGCCTGGAATATAAATAATGAATCGTTAATTAATCAAGGTGATACGTATAGGAGAAGGCAACAAAAAACTTTTTTGTGCTTGCAATTTTAGAGCTGATTTCAAATTGCCTGGAAAACTGCTTGGCTGCATCAGCTCTAGTTTTGTAGATACAGTGAAAATAACGATTTTCGTCATTTCGGAATCACAGTTCATTTTAAATTAATATGTAAAGTCTATTTCATTATAAACCGACAAATTTGAATTCCCTGCACCCTTTTAGTCATGTGCACTTTCACATTTTTTAGTGCTGAATTTTTAGTCATGAATTTAGAAATAAAACTTCGCGTTCGTTTTCACAATTACGTTTACATACACCGCAAGAATACTTCAATAATAATAATAATTTGTATTTGAAAACACTCTTCGAAAATATTTTCGAAAATTCGCTATATTAGTTTCTTTAACTTACACTCGCATGTTTTCTCGAAGAGAATGTGTCGAATGCTTTCAGTATACGAATTACAGCTCACACAACGAAATAATGAACAATGACTGCAGATTACATGATGAAGTACATTCTATTAATTTTATGATATTATTAAAATTTAGTATTTATACGTTTGTAAAACAGGTTAATAATATCAAGGGACAAAACATTCAGACCCCACTATTTTTATTAAAGCAAAAATGAGGAACTTTGGTTGAGTGAAAGCCGAAATGTCTTTCTAAACGAAATCTTTTGCTATTTTAAATATAAAATGTTTGAAATTTTCTAATGATGAAATAAGTAAAACATATTTCTAATCTAACAGTTATGCGTGACCCGCTCTATCCTATCCTGCCCTATTGCTGTGTACTCCCAGGACATTCAAACTCGCGCGACAGCAATTCGGGCAGTCGTCTGTTATGCTGCGTCCAGGCGATCAAGAAGCCTAGCTAACCATGTCGCCAGAGAGTATATATCGCCAGTGCATGTCGCCGTCTGGCCTCCCCATTGGCTGGCGGCGACTACGCTACACGCAAAGCGCGCTAGTAGGCTAATGTCATTTTTGACCTGTTTTTCTTTGTTGCAGGATTGGCCGTAGATGCCCGTGAGGGTAGGAATGGTCGCACCGCAGTGGCGTGAACGTGCATTGCACTTTCAGTGCGTTCACAAAATTGCAAGAGGGCTCTGCAAAAGCAGACACAAGCCTGAAGTGACTGCGCTAGTCAACGTGGAGGCATCGCCATCTCTGGTAGTCTACGCTGTGCCCACCACTAGGCTCCGAGAAGTTGGACCTTTGCCGACAGACTCGCCCTTGCAGATTTCGGCTTCCGACCAAAGAAGACAATTTCCGCATGTTTTTCTCATGTGCACGCGGCTCACTCGGCCCCATGTAAATTTAAGTTGTGTTCAATTAATGTGTATCCACGAACTGATTACGTTCTCATTTTCAAATACACACCCATCCCAGCCCTATCCTCCCTTCCTTCCACTAAGGAATGTATAGTAATAATAATAATAATAATAATAATAATAATAATAATAATATATAAGTTATAATAATACTTCGCTACATTAAAATATCAAATAATTGTACTTATTTCATACAAATATCAAAAAATGCACGTAAGTGATCAATAATTAAAAACTTTTTTGCCGTTTCAGACTAAGACTAGTATACTTACGTTCCTAGGAGCATAAAGGGCCCAGAACTCATCATATAGCTTTTTCTCTTCTTCAGATACTTCTAATGAAACAGATAGTAAGTTCAGATTCATTTTTAGTTTAGGAGTTTGAAAGTACGCCACTACTCCACTGTTCCCCAGCTCCTTACTGACCTTTTTAATCTAGATAAAACAAATAAAAGCGTGGAAGTATATATAATACCAATTATTTTAAATTCAAGACATAGAAACTTAATACTTCATTATTCCAATTATATCATAAATTTAAAAAAATATATGAAAAGTTTTTACAATTGTTTCTGCAAATAAAACGCCGAAAAGGACGTACTAAGGCCTCTGGAATGAATCACTATGTTGTAATATTCGTCTTTCTTACATTACAAGATAAGATTACAAGATATTATATAATTACAAGATAAGGGAAGAAATGACGGTTAGTTCAATTTGTAAGAATACATCAACAAAAAATGTTTATACTGCTAGATAGGGAAATGCCCCCAGGGCATTAGACGAGATTTTTGTAGAATGGCGAAAAGCACTGTAACGGATCAACCGAGGTTCGGTTGTTCGCACAAAGCATCTTACACAGTCCGTGAACCCCATGGTCGTGATGCTACGTGATATACATTTAGGGACTTCCCCAACGCTGACATTGGGAATCCCCTCACTGGACATACGAAGAGGGAAATTCCTTCGACTGATGCAACACTCGTGGATTCCCAGTGACAAAGTTCCGCGATTCACCCTGCACGTGACCAAAGTGACAAATCACAACTACACGACTCGAGGCTGACGGAGGGGGGGAGGGGAGACGAGTGCAGGTGAAGTTCGGACAGACAGACGGAAGCCAAGGACGTGTGAGGGGGGTCGGACGCGTGTGAGAGAAGCTCGGGAGATGTGAGAGGAGACGGACGTGTGTGAGGAGGCGGTAAGATGCGAGGGCGCGTAGAAGTGACATAAAAAGAGGCGGCGAGAGAACAAAACACGTCCGAGAGTTCAACCGTGTCCCCGGAACTGAACCCGGTACAGTTATCAGAATCTCGGTAGCTCGCTCCACCGCTCGAGGATACGAACAGAGTCAAGAGGGACAGCACGAGACGCCGGCGAGATTCATCGTGAGACGGCAACGACGGCGTAGAGTAGGCCCCTTCGCCGACCACTTCTCGAGGGCGTTGACCTACGCGGCACGACGCCTCCCGTCCGACACGTCGCCTCACAACTCCAGCCGACAACAGTGTAACTTGGCGGTGTCCGCGCGCCTAGCAGGCAACGAGCGCTTCGCGAATAAATGTGCCAGGCAAACTCCTCGCATTTCCCTAGCCAAGTAACTGAGAAATAAACCCGGCCCGATTCGCCTGGTATCCTAGTGTGGGATTGCTTTGGGACGGAGCTGTCCAGACTGATCGCGGTCGTTACCACGACCGCAAGGGGCCCGCTAGCAGGTCGGTCGCCGAAAGCGGCGATCGACAGGCCGGCAAAGCGGTGCTCGCGACGCCCGAACGGATACAGGGTCCACCTCCATCGCAGCTTGTAGCATGTAGATGTATAAGCAGTGCAATGCACTTTCCGCTGCAACACACGTACAAACGTCCAAGAGAACAGCGTCTTTGAATTCCATTTTTGAGCCTTCGTCAGGTAAACTGCGTGACGTCAACCGCCCGCCCGCTGGGAGCGCCAGGCAGTTAGTTCACAATTACTCGGAAGTTTGAAGAGCAATTAAATTAATTTTTGCGTAATTAATTAGCAATTAAATCACTCAAGGTGGTATATTTGGTTTTGTGAAAGTGCCATCTTAACATTAAGCTAGCTCACCGTGTATTACTCAACAATTTGAATCTATTCAAATTTTGAGTAATTAATTAACAATTAATTGGTTCTCCATAGAGGAATATTTGGTTTTGTGCTAACTTATTGTATTAGTGCCAGCTTAAAAGACGTGACGAGACGACACCCGGACAGCCCAGATCGTGACTCTGGTATCGGAAGCCTACGAAATCGCACCTACAAAAGAAAAATGACACAAAACTTAAAGTGAATTTTTCAGATGCAAAATATAATAATTTTTCCTCATTTTATCCCTACTGCTACTATTTTATTGTTATTCTATCTCTTCGTTTTCATGATATGTCTTCTAAATTTCATTAGATTAATAAACAAAGAATATTTTTCATCAACCTTCCCTAAAAAGGTAAAAAGTCTACACTTCTTACCTTCATGAAAACTTTTCAATTCTATTGACATTACTATCTGACCAGCCACTTGTATGTTTCTACTTGTCCAGCCTCTGTCAAAATGTTCACTTATGACCAGGGCGCGGTTTCTGATTAGTAATTTTTGCACTGATGCACTAGACGTAGCTAACTTGTAAATGTGTGTTTATCATGACATGTGATAGAAATGGATCTTACGTAACTTCCTCAACCTTTCAAAACTGACGGTAGTAAGGATTACTTTCCTCCTAAATACTTTATATTGAACGTTATTTTATATAAATATATATTATTTAATAGTGTAAAATTCAATGAATGAATAGACATTTTCATACAAATTTTACTGTTCTTTATGTTAGGGATGGCGTATTTCGTTTTTCATATGTCACTAGGTTTGCCATCTTAACAAAATGTACATATACACGGTTCGTTCTGCCAACCTTTGTAATCTAAAAAAGCATTGGTGGTAATCAATGTTTAGATTTAGATTTAGTCAAAAAAAGTAAAAACTGTATGTGACGTATGGGGGAGAAATCATCTGCGCATGTTTTCGTGATGGGTATGCCATCTCACTGCCTCCAAACTTGCAGGGCAGTTTTTCGGGTTGCTCGCCCTAGATGCATTGCCTTCCGCGGCTTTTGAGTTGCATCTACCCAGGACGTCTTCACCATTTTTTCCACGCTAACGATGTTCAAGCATGGTTCTTCTAGCAATTTCTTCTCGAAATCCTCTTCTTGGCGTTGAGGTCCTCTTCTGACATACATGGACGGCAGAAAACAGCATGTAAAATTATGAGACACCTTAACAGACAAGAGAAGGACATAGCAGATATACAAATAATTAAGCCGGAGAATGCTTTCTTACTACAAGAACGTATGTAAATAAGAATGCGAGGATAATAATAAGAATGCAAGAAGAAATGAAACTATTAATGAACAGCGTAGATCAGATAGAAGGGAAGAACGTGGAAGAGCGCACAAGTAAATGAGAAAATAGAAAAAGCTAGTGGAGTGGCTGCACAAAGGCAGAAAAATGCTTTAAATTGCAACTGAAGAATTTAAATACGGCTTCTCCACTTCTTCAGATCCTATGCTGGAATAGAAGAAAAATACCAACGCGCAATGGAACTCGTCAATAGTGCTACCTATTTTCAAAAAGGCAGACCGGATCATATTGTTCAAACTACAGAGGTATAAGTCTTCTAAAAACTTGTGCTATAAGATGTATTATAAACAATTGTAACCACTAGACTAAGAAAATTGCAAGTAAACAATGTTGATGGAAAGAACAAAGGTGGGCTTTTGTCAGGAAGGTCCTGCAAGGACAATATCTTCATCTTAAACAAATTTTAGAGAACAGAGATATACCAAGGAAATACCGCACTGATGTTTTAAGTAGATTCACAAGAAAAGCTTTTGACACTGTAAGCCAGGCATCACTCTTTGAAATACTAGAAGAAAGGAATCCCGAACAACTCTTATCGCTTGATAATTGAAATATGTATTAATAATCTGAAATATGTATTACTTGGAAACCAGACTCGAAAGCGGAAGTGGGACCAAAGCCTACGACAAGGATGTAGTAATTTCACCGCTACTGGTTCTGATATTACATAGAACGAAGCTCTTTCGTGAGTGGGAAGAGCAGATTAAAATTTTCTAGCCTAGACCTACCTACATGCAAAATTAATGGACAATACCTTTTTGCAGAGTGACCAGCAATAATAGCAGAAGGAGAAGAATATATTCACCAAAAGGCAACTCATGACTGCAGCGGATAATGGAGAATATAATCTTGATAATACAGACACCAAACGGAAAAGTGATGGCATTCAAGGTCGATACCGGATACGCTAAAAATTGTAGTAAATAATAAAACAGTAGAGCAGATACAAACATTCTTCACATTCTTGGGAGCAAACATATCATTCTACGGAAAATCGACATAAATAAGAAAATAGAAAGATTCAATCAAATGAATGGAACTATAAGAAGAACACTCAGTTCAAAAAGTGAGAAGAGACTCTCATTAAATTTTACAAAGTTATGTCAATACCAACCTGCTTTATACGGGAGTGAAGTGTGGAGCAATGACAAATAAAGATATATATGAAGCTGCAGGAGGGAAATGAGATTCCTTAGAGTGGTAGCGGGATATAGCCTTTTGGACAGACAAAGAACACACACAAATCTGAAACTAGCTAAATGTAGAAAGTCTTTGTAGAGAAAGTCACCAACTACAGACCTCTCACGGCAAGATCACATGTTGCGATGAACAACGACAGAATTCCTAAACAAGTGGCAAATTATCAGCCGAGAGGAAAAAGGAATGTAGGACGCCAGAATGAGCTGTGAGGGACCAAAATTAAGCGGCGTAACAGGCATTATGCCTAAATACTTGAAGATAAGAAGAAGATGTTTTTTGGGTTTCGTATATTATTTTTCGTATTTACAGTCAAATTTTAACAATTTTCACAATTGTTTCTCATTGAAAAATAGAAAAAAGGGTTTAAAAATGCATTTCTGCAAGTGTTATATTCATAAACTTACTGAACACACAGTTTATTTATTTCACCGAATTTACATCTTTTACTCATGATATTCGTCAGATTTCATTTTTAAACTGTGTTCTTTCTGCAATCATTTAAATTGCACACATGCATTTGGACATTAATTTATTTGTTTTTAATGGACACCAGCATTCAAATCAATCGTAATTCGAAAACAATTTGTTCATCAATATGAGTCTACTAACTACCAATGCAATCGCACAATTCAAGAAAAAATGAGAAATTTTCTGTTCAAATATCACGCGAAATTCCCGCTAAGTCCTTACAGAGACACCAAAGAATAAAGAAGTACATACTCCAACGATGGTGTATGTAGCAACGTTGCCAAGCATTGATTCTGTATTTCAGAAGGACTAGTTAAGCTACGGTTTAGCGGCCATTATTTTTACGAAGTTACCAAGCTTCTATTGGTAGGGCTGTAGACGCCTTGCCATCACCAGACGTTGTAACGTGAGGGCCCACGGCCCGAGTCTCGTTCTCAGCTTGGACCGTAACCTTCGTTTATTACAACGAAGGTGTCGCTTGGCCAGGCTACGCGCGCTAGACCCGGGACACCGCCACCTTCCGATGACGAGATGTTCTTTCGAAAACAAACGCGCAATAAAGTAGTATTACATCCGCACGTTTTCTTATATCCCGAATTATCTACCCCCATTCCTTTCCCAACTTCGGTTGAATTAAGAATAAATGATTGCAACGAGCGTTGTAGACAAAATCTGGTAACGAGAAATGTTCGCTCCCGTGTATTAGAAACTATCCTGCATCGAAAAATTCCTCCCAACCAAACTCCCCACTCCTCTCGGATCTAGCGAAGCGAGGGCTCAAGAAAACGTGCACGGATAATACTAAGTGCCTAGCCTCGGTTATAGCCTAACGCCAAGTGCCTAGCCTCAGTTAAAAGACTCGCACTTGAAATGGCTTTCTACAGAAAAACATGATTTTCCCGACAAATGATACCATTATCACAAAAAGAATTATTTTGCAGCTGTGTACGATTTCCATTTGACGTCCAATGAATTCAATAACTAATATTACTTAGTTATATTAACATTTGATTTAAAAGTATTCTTTAATAGTTCGTTTATTTCATCTGTAAATATATGTTCAAATGTAAATTGGGAGATATTCATCAGTTCATAGAAACCTATTTGTTTAAGCTCAGGGCATATTGGTACTTAAATAATGAACTTTTTTCTCACGATATGCTCATAGGTTCATTCTCAATAGAGATGAACATCATTCTCAAATTTTAGTCACAATTTAAAAAAGAAAAACATAAATCATCTAATTTTCTAAGTAACACATCACACATGTAATTAAATAAATTACATACTAATTTTTAACATGGATATAACATTCACATTGACTGTACTGGTCATTTTAGGAATCTTGTCAATTTCCTTTAATCTTACAATTCATAGAAAACTTGGTACCACATTCTACTTCACAAGCAAATAAAAATTCTATAGAAAGTCTTCACCGAAAAAATATACTCCACAGATCACATGGCTCAGATTATCTTCTTAGGAACATACATTATATTTGCAAGAAAAAGTAACTCTTTTACATTTAATTTATTATTCTTTTTATATAAGGATTGGATTAATATCGTAAGGGCACACAGTGGAATAGATTATTATACTTTTCACAATTTAATTCAATAATCTTAAAGATGACAAAATATTCTTCAATTTGAAAGTCATTTACATATTTTCAATCTCTAGTATAATAAATTAAATTAAAAAAGTTATTTTTGCTGGCAAATGTAGTGCAAAGTTACAACAGAATTTCTCAATAAAAACAAAATCATTTGATGATGATCATAACTTTGTTTTGCTATTAAATTGCTTTGATTTATGATTCTTTTGATTTTGAAAACATGACAATTTAAACATTGAACTTTCTGTAGTATTTAATTTCTAAATTATAGTGTATATTTTAAAGGGTCTATTACTGAAAATGTATAACTACACAAGCCAAGTTCACAAATATTATTCCTTTTTTACTTATTTTGTAAATGTATGCCTTGAGAATGCCTTGATGCAAGGTCTATTTTAAACGAAAACCAATCTTCATTTTAGAAGCCTATGTCTCACCCCTTCAATGGGCCATCATTAAGATTGGAAATTTATTATTAATATTAGAACATACCAAACGTGATATAGAGAAAGAGTGAACTGTATTATTAATGAATAGTGGTAAGGAAGAAAGAAATAAACCCTGTCAAATAACATCAACAATACATTGCAAGCTCTGATGGATGCCTAATAAAGGCCATGTAATTGTTTTTTTTTTATTTAATAATTAACCTAACACACGAATACAAACCAAGTATTTTTCCTGCTAGCCAAGCAGATGTGCAGCACGTTAACAAAAATGTAACAAAAACGTAAACTACATCACTTGACAGAACACAAAACTAATATAACCATATAACTAGAAACCCATAGTATGTAAACAGTAGGGAAGCTCAACGTTAAAGACCCCATGCTTGCTTACCAGCTGAGAAACACTAGCGCTTTAAACGGTGGGTGACTAAAGTTTCTGTGAGTGAGCGAGTTACTTTCGCGCACCAATTTTTGATCGTTCTGCGCACCATCAGTGTGCGTCACGAACCACGTGACCACAGCACGGGCACTTCGTTTGAAAAGCCAGACCAGACCGACCATGTTGCATGGAGAGCGAGAAGTGTTGAGAAACATTTTGAAAGTGATACAAAGTGACAATTTTCAACGGTAACCTACCAAAAAAAAGTATCGGGCTGCATTTAAAATTATCGAAAACTGATGTCTGAAGCTTATTGGCTGATGTCGGATACAATCCGCAAGAGCCCCACCCCCTGTAGTATACTTACGAGAGAAAGGTATAAAAAACTAGGCAAATTTTGTAATAATAAGAAAAGTCATAAGCCCAATATTACTCTTAAATACATTATTAAACTGCGCAAAATATGAAAATAATTATATTTTCTTGAAAATTCTAATTTTCTACTATTTAATGCAAGTAAATTACAAGCTGCGAACCACTTACATCAATTATTCAAAAAATTATTTATATTATTCCATCTAAATATATAATTTGAAGAAATAAACATAAACGTAAATTGCATATTATTATTTATTTCAAGGGCATGCAACTTTAATAAGAGAGAATGTCATCTACTAAACGCATAATGACAGGACAGTACTGGTAGACGAATTAAATAGCCAAGTCTAGGCGCGGCAGTTCGGGAAGTATTTGAAACTTATTTATATAAATTATTTCTTAATTATTTATTCTTAACAATATTTAAAATTCATAAACAAATAGACAATTATTTATTTTCTCAAACACACGCTAAAAGACAAATATACGTATATTTATTATAAACACAAATAAATTTATATTTTCAATTAAAAATAACATGCATTATTACAATATTTCAAAAAGTAACAAATAAATATTTGATGCATCAGCATCAGTGCAATTCTTGGTTTCTACATTTGTTACTGAAGCAGTTTACTGGAAAACAATAGAGGCTCTTCGAATATCGAGTCACCATTAGTTAGCATGCAGGAAACGAAGAAATAGTTAAAATAACTCGCGCTTATCAAAAAGAATAACTTGTCTCACTATAACAATCTACTAAGTCTCACAATAAATTCGCAACAGCTCCCAATAACTCACAATATGAAATATTTAGAGCTTCCCTATTGTCTTAATACATATACTATGGTAATACTAAGAAATTTTGAATGACTCCAGATCTTATCTGCGATATTAAGTGTAAATATACTTCCGTGAAATATGCTCTGAGTTGATATCAATTTTAAACAAATGTGCGAAATCTCAGGAAACCCAACACAACAAACCCAAAACTTTTTTCATTAATCAAGTACGATTTACATTTTAATTTGAAGTAAAAATCCTGATTTCGTTTTTGCTCAACATAAACGTCTGTGTTATTTTCTATCATTCCACGAATCTGTGAAGAACTGTAGGGCAGTCGAGTTCGGTCAAGATTTTGTTGTGTCGACAAAGCGTACATAAGGAAGGTTTCTGAAAGTTTAACATTTTTACTTCAGAAAATATTTGGTCGAAAGTTTATCTGTGGTAGCCAATCAACATCTTTTATAACGATTATCATGAGCACACATTCATACGAATAGAATGAAATCTGATGGATATTTCCATCATAGCCAGATCATGGTGGTAAGTCATGGCATATGCTACACACTTGATGCTGCCACGTCCTTTGAAAGTAATGACTTTTCTTGAAAGTCGAGAGTGCGTGTTCACGTTCATATCTGGTACCACGTCTTTTGATCGCGTGATACCGGAGTCGGACCGCCAGTTTCAGTTTGAAGGATTGCATCATAAAACACTTAAAACATCTACAATAAAATTATATTCAACCGACAACAAAATAACCAATAGTCCAAAAACTACAAATTTGAGGATATGTGATGAGAATATTTCAGCGACTTAACTTTGAAATAGGCCTTCTTGAAGGGAAAATAATACCATTGACTTATGTTATCACCGAACACGTTCTTCGCAATGACCAAGACCATAGTGAAATTGAGTAAAATTCCGAAAGGAAACCCGACGCTTAGGTACCCTATGATTGCGACTACTTAATCAGAACAACCACAGCCTTTGTATATTTCATGGAATGATTAAAATAACGAAAGTCCTGTGACTGTGGGTGTACAATTTAAAAGGTGTCATTTCCCTCAGTACATACAAATAAACATCGATGAGAGTTTTAAGTTACCTTATAATTTATTTATTTTGCTTTTGCGTCTGAGGTTTAGTTGTTTTACATTCACGAAGGAAGGCATAAATTATTTACAATCTTTCACCGAATGAAGTACTTTCCTGGTCAGTAGTACCAATTTCAATTTAGTGCCGTTTCATAGTATTAAATTAGGAGTCTGTGTTCTCCGCTCTTTCTCTCGAGACCTGGCGCTCGGCTGGCCCTGGCCGCCGGTGACCGGCCGAGCCTGTCGCCGCTAGGCGGACTTCAGTCAAGAACTGCGTCGGAGTGCACATCGGATGCTATGTTCCGGGAAAAGGAAGGAATATTGATTGGCTTTTAAAATAAACGATCAATACTTTCCATTTTACAAAATTTGTTCTACCTGGGAATTAAAGGGTATTCGCGTGTTTCTGATAAAGTTCTTCCTTTGTATGGACTAATCATCAGATGTTTATGAAGTTACCTATTTTATTCTAATTAACATTTTTAACGGCTGTTGGTATATACACTTGAGGAAAAGAGAATAGCAACACCGGGAAGGGCACTAGCAATCAAGTAGGTGATAAGAGACGTTGGGGATGGAGGGTCGTAGAAGCCGTGATAACGTTTTCGCGGATGACTGACACCCGGTGACGAAATGGCCCGGACGCTCCATCTGCTCCGCGGCTTTAAAAGGCGCTGTCCATTCCATGAGGTTTAGTCGGGACTTAGGTATGCCACGGCGTCGCACTCGTTCGTCCTTTAAGCAATTGGACCTGTGTGAGTGAGGTCGGATTGTCGGCCTGCGCGAAACCGGGTGGTCCTTTCGGTGCATTGCTGACCGCGGGGGCCGTGATGTGACGTCGGTGCTGGCGCCGATGGGTAGACGAGCGTTCCCATAACTAGACGCACTTCAGGGCGGCCGCAGAGCACCAACGAGCGTCAAGATGGACGCATCGTGAGGGCGACGTGGGCGGACCGATCTGGCACACGAGAACCCCAACGTGCCTCCGTGCACCGTTGGTGATCGGGTACTTGCTGCAGGATTACAATCGCGCATTCCGCTAGCCCGACTGCCACTCACGCCGAACCATCGTTGGGCGCGTCTGGCGTGGTGCAATGGAGGGTCAGCTGGCAGACGGAATGGTGTGCAGTGGTGAGACCTGCTGTGCCCGCACCCCAGTGACGGTCGCACGCGTGTGTGGCGTCGCACAGGCGAGCGCATGCGTCCGGAGTGTGTTCGTCCACGTCACATAGGGCCCACCCCGGGAGGGTTTGGTGTGGGGTGCCATCAGCTACGACGCGCGTTCGTCTTTGGTGTTCGTGGAGGGATCACTAAGCAGCGCCGAATACATCCAGTGCGTTGTGCGGACACCTTTCTTGCAACGGGAGGGTGGGTCACGCCCTCCGCGAAGCTCGTCAACTGCCCTGTCCGGCTCGCTCAACGGATTTGTCTCCGATCGAGCACGTGTGGGACTTGGTGGGCCAACGCTACCTGGTCTGCGGGAGGCGGTGCAGGAGGCGTGGAACAGCGGACCGCAGTGCGTTCGCCCCTGTACGATGGAATGCCAGCTCGCGTCAGGGCTTGACGTACTGCCCGCGGTGGACACACGCAGTATTGATGTGCCGTTCCGGTCCGTGGTTTTCTCTGTTGCTGGACATACGCGTCTCACGTAGCTCTGCCCATGTAATCATGTGTAGTATTCTGTCAGTATGTGCTGTATCTGTATGGAGGAATAAATTGGACTATGCAATCGGGGTGTTGCAATACTTGTTTCGCCAATTTATGCAACAATAATAAAAAAGTAACAATTATAAAGAATATGTATTTTGCCTATTTTCAAGTAAATGTATTTTAAGGGTCAGACATATTTAAAGCCTTATTTCTTGAGATTTATGTTTATTTTCTGCTAGTCTTGGTTAAAAATGTATATTTAAATCATTTTCACTTTCACTAATCCCAGTCGATTGGTCTTGGATCTTTATTTTCGTCTAGTGGATGTCATTTGGTTTGAATTTGTCATTAGAGACCAAGAGTTCGCTTTCTTAGCAATACATCATACAAGAAAAGAAAGGAGAGGACGCAGGTGACCAGTGGGCCATGGGAGAGTGCTGGGCTCAAATTCGCGATGCAAACATCACTCGCACCGCAGGGGACAAGTCGATAGCTCCGACCTTGATATCTCGCCGGCCCTAATGTTCTTCCAGGAAGGTGAGGGAAAGGAAAGGAAGACCCTGTTAATTAAAAGGCTAGGTCTCTTTCATATGCCAGTGATGGAAATCAAAGATAATTAGAATATTCATTTTTGTAATTTCTTGGTTTATACTAAAAAACAATATCAGTTTTTTTCTATTTTCCAACAATGCCCAACCACATTCATTAATTGTCTCTTATTTTATATAGTGTATAACGTACGTATATTATAAGGAATATTATATTTCGAATAATTGAAAACTATATCTTTTTGTGGCGATAGGGCAAAAAGTTGAATATGCTGATTTGCATTGAGTGTCGTTGTTTGACCATCGATTGCATCGACAAATTCTGGGGTCAAGGCGGCTTACATGAGCTGTTTTACAATACATTATGCTCCATGACAAAAATACTTTTTCACGCAAGGAACAGTGCCCACCTCAATTTTGTTTAGCATATGCGTTTTTATTGTATTAATAATAAAATTAAGAATGTTAATTGTGTTTAATAAATACGCATTATATTCGAATTTGTAAGAAAGATAAATTATATTACAATTGGCATGAAACGATTTATTTTTCCCTTAACGCATCATTTTGTGATTTTAAATGTAATTCTGGAATCTCAATGTTTTGCCCTAGGGGTCGTCCACGTCCACGTAACGCTGAAGAGCGTGGAAGGGGTTTGAGGCAGCAATGCGCCACGTTACGCAGGGGTTGCAGGTTCAAAGTTTACTGCTACGTGATGCTGATATTTATTTTTAAAATCTTGTAACATTTGCTGAAATAATTCCTTTTTTCCGGTCTTATACTAAAAATGTCTATATTAACAAACTAAATTAAAAATTTAATAAGGGAAAGAAGTTATATTCTATAAATTGTTCCAACAAATGAAAATATTTTTAATCGATGATATATTGATTGTATCTTTTAGATTATGAAGAAAATATTCAAAACTGAGCTACGGGGTATTCTAGAATCGAATTAGTTGGCAAAATAGACTCGGAGCTTAAACATCATCCACGACGGCGTGTGTACAGCTTGTCAGAAATGTCCTCGCCAATGCGTTTTTCTTTCATTAAAAAATTGTCAGCAAACTTATTGTTATGCGCAGTCCGCACCTCCAACTAATTCACACGTTAATTATAATAAATGTTTATATATAAACAAATACAATTAATACAACTCGTTTTTGCTTTATAATTGAATTTTGGAATTGGCAGGGGGCTTGTAGCAAAGCGCTTATTATTAGAGGGGGTTCAAACGCGCGTTACAGAGGGAGAGGGAGTATTCAAAATAACAATTTTAAACTGTTTTTGACGTAAATAAATAAAATAAAAAATAAGTATTCAAATTACTCCAAATTTGAGTTACGTAATTCATGAACGGCTCCTATATGGTATTTTCTTTTCTTACTTGAAACTATACTGCACGTGTACTTACATTATTAGAAATTCCAATTAATAACCTTGCATTTCCATAGTGAAGTATTATACACGCACGTTTTCGTGAGCCCCGGGATATCTACCCCCACTCCTTTGCTCACAGTAGTAGAATGATGAACAAATGATAGCAACGAGCATTGTAGACAAAATCTGAAAACCGGAAATGTTCGCTACCTTGTTATAGAAAGTAATTTGTATAACTACTGCAAAACTACAAATTTGATACAAAATTCCTTTCGTCAAAATAACAAAAACTCCCTATTCTGCTCGCAACTAGTGAAGCGAGGGCCCAAGAAAACGTGCGCGGATAATAATTCAGAGAGCGAAAAGAATTGATGAAAATTATTTTATATTTTTATTTTTATTGTTTTATCGACATAGCTATAATGTTTATTTTAAATTATACTTTAAACTCTTTGTTTTCCTTTAATTATTTCAATTTTTTTATTGTCTTCCTCTCTAAAAATATTTTAATTAATTGATTAATTTTTACTTTTTAACCAATTAATGGTTTAGGGAGTTTTGCACCCTCGAACGTTAAAGCAATAAAAAGTATTTAGAAGTAGTATAGAAGCTATTACTTTTCTGTGCATGCGTAGAAGTTTGTTTCGTATCACTTTTGTGCATCTGCGCATGCGTAGAAGATCGATAGTGCTGTCCGTAATCGCGTGCACCCACTCTTCAGCGCTTCTCAGAGAGTATAGGTTAAAAGCTGTGACGCCACAAGTGCAACATCTAGCGGTACGACCAGGAACGACCAACATGTCACGCGAAGTGTCATCTGCTTCTACCAACAGGCAGATTTCACAGATTTCATAGTACAATAAAGTAAGAAAATGCAGTCAGACTGTTCGCATAGTGAAATTCTTAAACAGCGATAGATCCCAGACATTTATTTTGTAGCATTAGTCGCATACCATTGTGATTGGATGAGTTCTGTTGCTGATAATTGTTTTGCAAGGATTATGTTAGCCTGTTTCTCAATATCAGTTACATTTTGAAGTACAGTTTTGTCTTTCTGTTAACATTCTTTGAATTTTAGCCAATAATGCCTTCCCCTCTTGATACAAAACTGTGTCAAGAGTTGGCACAGCACATAGAGGCATTGACACACACAGGTCAGAAAGTTTTAGAACCCACACTCATAAAAAAAATTAAACAGATTTGCAGGTAAGTTGAATTTAAAAGAATTTGTTCACTCAAACAAATAAAAATTGTTGGGTTACGGAAATAATATCATCCCCAAATATATATTGTAACAGTTCATCTGTACCATGAATTTGATCATTTATTTTGAAAAATTCTAATTGTTTAATGACCGTAATGTCAAAAGTTGATTTGTGACAGGTTATTCTCCTAAACAAAGGTAGTAAAAAACTTACGAAAAGTGTTCTAATAGTTAAATTTTTAATGTGTGACACTCTTCTCTCATGGCGAAGTTTAGTGAAGAAATCTCTTTAGTTATTTTTGAAAAAAAGACGAATTAAGCAGAAAGTAAGAAAGAAAAGATGAAATATTGTGGAGTTTTATTGGGATTTAAAATTCCTTACAGACTTGTTAAATAGTATCTACAAGTGAAAATTTTACGTGGATTTTCAATGGTTATGTTGCAATCTAATTAGATATTTAAAAAAATAATGTAGACCCCAAAGAACACTGTTTACTCATAAGATGTGGTTCTTGCAGGTCTTCGGAAGGTTATGTGGAACATGCTTACCACTTACTGCTTCATCAACTTGGAGAGCAGCATGCAGAAGTGCGTTTCAGTGCTTTCCAAATTATTGATGAACTATTCAGGTATAAAGTTATTTTTCTGCATTTCTCTTCTCAAGGAAAATATTTAATTCTGATAATTGTGAATATATTTAGAATGTATGGTATTCTGAAAGGCGGAAACTGTCGAATTCCAAAATTAGCTAGTTAACATTCACATTAACTAAATTGGGTGGATGGAGTTCGTAGGAACGGCTTCAAAGCATACTTTGAATGAATTGGTATAATGAATAAGCCATTACAAGGTGGCTAAGGTAGTTGAAGTACATTTCAATGATGAAGAATTTCTAATAACATGTGCTAAACTGGAATCAAGACTGGTAGTAAGAAGTTTGTCAGGCTAGTAAGAGAGAAGGTATGTAGTTGCAAGTTCAACTGTATCAGTTGTAGATTTCCATTTAAACTGAACTTTACTTCATATAATGCAGTGTGCTCTACCTTTGCTAAACATTTATGAATTGACAATGAGACCGCAACCTTCAGCTTTCACAATTCAAATAAAACAATCTTGAGTGTGCTATGTACAATTCAAAATTTCTCATTCATGTTTATTTCAAAATCCAAAATTCTTGTGAACACAAGGTGCTTCAGTTTTGCACAATCACTTTACTTTAGTTAGTGTCCTGCAGATAAAGGCAACATTGTGATTATGATTATGATTCTTCCATCACCTATCTTCATTATTATTAGCTGGATGAAGTCCAAAATGATTCATACATCATAATTTACACAAGTTTATCCCAATCATCTGGTTAATGTAGAAATTAAGTGGTGATTCCTTACAATAGCTCAATATAGACTTGTATTTACAAATATATCCATAACCTGTATACTTATTTGTTATTATTATTGCAAAAATAGCAGTAATACTGTTTTGTCCAGTATCAGGCAATACATATGGTGTCAGGTTATACATTATTGTTATATAAAGTCATTTTTGTCTTGTAAGCTACTGGTGTGCTTATATGTATACTCGGTGCCAGTGCTAGGCATGTACAGACTTGAGCAAGCGCTCGAGGGACCCACAAATTCAAGGGGGCCTATAATGGAACTAATGAGGAAAAAATTAGCTAAAAATTGAAAAAGAAATCAGAACTTGAGAAAATCATTATTGTAATTTTATAAGTCATGGTTCAGTAGTCTGATATTTTATAGAACTTTCAATTAACTTTTAACCTTGAATAGTAACTCGTACGTAAACACAATGCATTTTTTTAATGTTTTAATTGTGTTGATCTTTGATCACTAAATACTTTTACTTAAAACATTTTTTGAAAATATATTTCCAAAAACTTTTTATAACTTAAACTTTGTAATTTTTGTTATTTGTCGAAATCATTCATGTAGTTTCTTGATACACCTTTCACTTCTACCGTTTTTCAGGAGGGGGGGAGGGATATGTTTCCGTGTTGTTTGGGCCCCAAAATTGTGTAGCTCTGGCACTCTGTGCTGTAAAAAAGTATTGTGTGCAAAAAGTGTCAGTGGAAGGTGTGAGTGAGTAAGTGGTGCAATTTTGAAAGTAAGGAGAATTTTAATCTTATCATGATTGAAATGAGATCAAAAAATTAGTCAGCTAAACATTTCACTGTTCATATTTTAATAAATTAAATAGAGCTCATTAAAATTTTTAAGTTAACAAAAGATACAGAAACATAAATATTTGCAGGCGCTCTCACAGTTTTCGAGAACATTTGGTTTCTGATATGCAGCGCATTATGGAGCTCACAGTGGAGACAAACCCCAACAATTGCCTCCCTCCACCAAAGATTGCAGCTTCTAACCTCAAAAACTTAGCTTTACGGTCTTTTCATGAATGGAATGTGCAGTATGGAAGTGGATACAAAAGATTGCAAATTGGATACAATTTCTTAAGGAAATGTAAAAATGTAAGTTTGAAAAGGCATATAATAAAAATATTTCTCTGATCCAGTTTGTATGTAGTAGATTATCGTTTCTATTTCAGATTATTGCAACAGTATTGCAAACAATTATTATGAATTAATTAAAAAAATATTACTGTGTGCCATATTTAATTACAATTAATGATTCTTTTTTAAGTACATTGGTTGCATAAACTTCAGATTAGAAAATAACTGACTGATAAAATAGAAACGATGATAAATTACTCCAAAATAACTCTGAAACATTAAAATATATGACTGAATTACATTAGCAGCCACATTATAATATATGGCTGAATAAAAAGTTGAAAAACGTTTCAGAATAGAAAATGTGTCTTGAATACTTTGTGCTTAAGTTCTATTGATTAAATCAGATCTAAAAGAAACATTTTATACCTTTAGATTGATTTCGATAATCTGGAGTTTGAGAATGCTATTGAACGAGCCAGAAGAGAAGAAAATTTGCGACATCAACAAATAGTGAATGAAGAGAAGATACAAAAAGTGTTGACAGAATATAATGGTAATAATTGCATCCATCAATGAATTGTAATTTTGTGCTTTATTCAGTGTCAGATTTACTTTGTACAAAAGAGAAACGTGTGCATGTAGGTAGGTTTGAGGTAATTTATTCTATAATGTCACTAAAAATCTCAACAGTGCCCAAGTACTGCAGTTATTCTGATTGTTGATGATTGTTTGTGATCAAGTTTTTAGATATTATTTTATCTTTGCAGCTGTATGTAACTATCACAACAGTTTGATAATTGTTTTTACTTTCTCGTATTCATACATATACACAAAGTAATATATGTAGTATAGATAAGGTTAAGTGATGTGGCAGAACATAGATTTCCAGATTTCAATGGAAATAGGTCTTGGGAGCTCCTGATGCCGAAATTTTTTTTATCTCCAAAACATCCGTTCATCCGTCTGTCAACACAATAAGCGACTAAACCATTAGTAAGATTTTTTCAAATTGGATATTTCCCTGTTGATCTGGCTCGACTCGAAGCGTTGCGGTATTGAAAAACTTTCTTTAAAATTTATGCAGCGGCGATGGTGTAACGGTTAGCGTACTGGACTATTGTACCCAAGTTGGCGGGTTCAAACCCGATCGAAGCCGTGGATTTTTAAGGGCGAAAAAATCCTTCGTACGCCTTCCTTCGGCTGTCCCATGTTCATAGCTTTACTTGCATGTAAAAGATCCTCAAGCCTAAATGACGCCTCTGAGCTAAATTCAAATCGCCTGTTTCTCGCCCGAGAAATACCTCCTTTCTCTCCTAGTTGGTGAAAGGAGCGTAGCGAAATTTGCGTGGTCAGACGGAAGAGCGGGCTTGATGGCCCGAGTTTCGCCACGTAAAATAAGGCAAATTCAATTCGATTCAATTCAATAAAATTTGGGGTTACTTTACATGAAGCCTCAGGGACATTTTCAAAATTTTCTTAAAAATGGCTCCAAATTTTTTCCTTCAATTTCTTGTAAGAATAGAGTGAAATACACTATAAAAATGGCATAGGCATACTTTTCACTGTTAACTCAGAATTTTCGAAACTTTCAAAATTGAATTTTCTTAGGCATCTTCCTACAACTACAAAATTAAAGATAGAGATTTTTCATTTCCATAAAATTTGTTGTCCATATTGATTTCTTTCAGTCAAGTCTCGTAAATTGTTTGAAACTTTCAGTAACTTTTGTGCAATACTGTGTGCAATATGTACTGTCTTAAAAAATTACAAAAACAAAATTTTCTCAAAAACAGGTCCATATTTTTTCTTTATACTGTAGGTAGGGAATGTACTCTATAATGTGACATAAATGCCATATTGCTCTATTCTCTTGTTTTTTCAAAAATTGCAAACATGTAATTATTTTGACTTGTCTCTCATGTTCTTAATATTCATATTAGCAGCAATTTGTTCACAGCATATGGGCTTTAAATAGTATTGTTTAAAGTTTCTCAAAAAGTGAATGGTTTTCTGTGAAAATGAGCTCATAATTCCGCATTTTCAGGAATGCTCTAACGTTATTTTCACAAAAATGGCTCCGCATTTTTTCTTCAATCTTTTCCGATGGATAGTGTTAATTGCAAGATTAAAAATGCTATGAAGTTCATTTTGCTGTATTTTTTTGTTTCTTCAAAAAAACACAAATGTATTTTATTTTTTTAAATTTCTCACGCTGTTAATATGCACATTTTCAGTAATTTGTAAACACTATTGAATTTACGAGTTATAGTACCTCAAATTACTTTAAATAAAGAATTTTCAAAAACAAAAATTTAATACGAAAATGAGCTTCAAATTTTGAATTTACAGTAATGCTTAAACACTATTTTCTCAAACACTGCTCCAAATTTCTCAATGAAAATTGCCATTTATAATGATGTTTTACTCTTTTTTAATATACTTAAAGTAATATTGTGTTTCGACTATTAGGAAACTGAAAAATTGAGAAAATGTCAAAAAACTGCACTTTGGGCAACAATAGATGGCAGCTGGCAAAGGGGGTGGGGCAAGATCGTAAATGTAGTCCACTCCAAGACAATTAGAAAACTTTACTACGAGAAACTCTGCCGTTCTGTTGCAGCATTAGTTTATTTTATTGCAATGATTTTTATGGTCTTAATAAAAACACTTTGTGTTTCTCATAACAATTTATTTCTTTGTAATGTTTTGACCCTATTTGGGGTCTTTTTCAAAAATCTTTTGTCCATGTTTGTTGATACCATGTCATAAAGAAACAATTAGCATTTTGATAAAAAATTGTCAAAAGTATAAAAAATCTGGTCAAATAATGCAATTCGACTTTTTTTAACAAAAGCTATCTGTTTTTTTTATTTTTGATTGCCTAAAATAAAAATAAAAAAACTACAATCCAAGGTAAAGCATAAACAATCATTATGAAGAACAAAAGTATTAAAATTTATTCTTTTTAAGTTATCAAAGATTTGTCATTAAAGGTTCAATATTTTTCCTTGATGCGGTACATTGAAACAAGTCATAACTTATATGATGTTAGTATATACCTAATGCCTTATCATGTATATATTGTTTTTTCTAGATCTCTATGAAGAAATAAAAACCACAATAACATCATTAGATAACTGTATAAAGTTATTGGTGCCTTCTCTTGATGATTTTTTTATATCTTGTGATAATATGGATGAATCGGATATTGATACTTTCAACAGTGAATTGGTTGTGACAAGCCCTCATTTGAAATGTTCTAAAAAAGAGAACAAAGTTGACATCAGAGAACATGGAATGAATACGAATTTCTCTGTTGAAGTTGAAATAAAACCTGGTAAATATATCTCTGTATCCCCAGAGGAATTCACTTAAACACCCTTTGTAGGCCAGACAAGAGTACATTTAGCCTGGAGGAAAGACATAAAAGCTTTTTTTTTGAATATCAACATTATAAATGACCTTTTCTGTTGCAAATAATCGTTTGTAATTGGCCATTTTAGAGCACAAATGATAGCTCCCATTGCTGTGCCTGTGGCTGATTGGCCACACATTCAGCCAATCAGTGAGAGAATGGTGGGGAGGTTGTAAACGGAACATCCAACCCCATTTTTTCGCAAAGATGTCAAAAACCTAAAATGTCACAAGAAAGTTTTTTAGCAAAATTAAGTTTGATTTCTTTAAAATTTATAATGCTGTTATACAAAAAAATGGCATATGCAACTTGTTATTAATATTACTTTATTGCCTACATAAAAATTTGAAAACTCGCTCCTAACTTGCAAGTTTTCAAAACATATCCAGGAAAAAAACTTAACATTATAAACTAATTGCATAAACTACTAATCTTTTTGCTTAGTTATTTACTCAGGCATTAGAGTAGACCCCAATTTTTCAACCTCTCAAACCTCAATTCAACAAGTGTCTAGTTTCATACAACATATCTATGCAAAGACAAAATATTAATGATCTTTTTCCAGGTAACTCCTTAATTTCAATACTTACCAAAGTACTATGAGTATTTAATGTTGCAAAAGTTTAGTAAAGCAATTTTGAAAACCTGAAAATGATTTGAGTAGTTTCTAACGAAGTACCAAACAAATCCAAAATTCCATATTTTGAGATATTTCACTAAGTTGTTCCCTACAATTGTCCCAACCTGTAGATATTTCCTCTTCCTACAGCAGGTGCTTTTTCCTTTCAGCAAGTGCTAAACACATTGAAACAACTAAGGCAGGGAAAAATCATTAATTCATAACTGTGCATGTCTATGGTATGAAGTATTTCAGGCCTCCTGAAAAATCTTGAATTTAGTCTAGTTTGGTTCTTGTTAAAAAAAAAAAAACAACCTTCATTTGTTTTTATCTGGTTTGCTTGTATGAGTGATATTTAATTAATTCATAGCCCTCGTCACAAAAGAGTAATGACATGGAATGGAGAGAATTTATTTTAAAAGAGACATTAAGCTTAGTAAATAGCTTTGATGATTTAATGTTAATATCATCAAGAAAGATTTACTTACAAGAAATTTTCTTGCTGGTGGGTATATGGAGTAAGTGCATGTACAGAATTAAAGGAAACATTGTGAATAAATTAATATTGGTCAAATGAAGGAGTACGAAGTGAGTCGTTCTAATTCAGCATGCCCATAATTTCACTGTTTTACAACTACTAGCTTTTTCTTTTTTAGTTGCTAGTGTTAAAGAGACCGCTGAAAATGCAGCAGTATTTGAGAATGCACGAGATGCACAACGATTGATAAAGAACCGTTACATACCACGTGTAAAGAATTGGCTTAAGGTGATTACTAAGTGTTCAGGTAAGTTATTCTTTTAACTTTCATATAAAAGGTGTATAGAGAAAGTTACGTAATACTGCATAAAATTGAAAATGAGATTTTGATGAAAACACACAGTAGGGGTCCCAAATACTGTAAAAGTGGTGTGGTCGGTCGTTATTTTTGTTGATGATGGGGTGTAGGTTTTTTTTCTTTCTGATTTTTGTCCTTCTATCCCTCCAAAATCCCTCCCTGCAAACAATACAAGCTCTGAAAATGTATATTCAAGATTTCCCACAATGGATATTTCACGATCTATTTTGCTGGACACAGGTTCTCGTATTTAAAACAGATTTTCAAATGTTAGGGGGGCAGGTGTATAGTATAGTAGAGCTGCCAACTCACACATTTCAGCATTTGAACAGAATCCATTCTGTTTATCTCTATTAAAAATCCCAATGATACTCATGACCTATATTATGTGTGCGATCCACATGATACCAGTGACCTATACATCATGGGCGAATGCCATATAAATACGGGTGGGTTTGACCAGTTAGAATATCTGCATAATCAGGTTGTTAGTTCTTGTGTGACAAAATACCCGTAAAGCCTAGAGCTCTATTGTATAGCCCTTAGGGCATATTTAAAATTTTCTTGAAAATGGCTACAAATTTTTTCTTTCGAATTTCTGCTGAAACACAGTACATGTATAAATGTGGCAAGGTATGTATCATTTTCAGTTAACCCTTTCAAATTTTAAAAATTGCAAAAGTTAACAAATTTTTCAACCATAGTTCAGTTAATAATATGGTTAGGGCTCATTTTCATTAAAATCGGCCCATAGCAGTTAAAGGGATAAGCCAATGAGAGAATACTGTTTTGAGAGAGGTGGTTTAGCAGCCAAGGTGGGGGAGAGGAAACTAGCTCGGACGGACAATATTCCAAGCTAAGAAACATCATTTCAAACTCAATGTGCATACATTACATTTTCAGGGCCCCCCCAAAAATGTGTAGTTCCATTACATTTTGACATTGATTTTGTGCAACATTACATACAAACATCCCTTCTGTGTACACAAGAAAATAAAAGTGAATTTGATACAAAAGAGTTTTATGAATCATATATAGACTATATATTGTGGTACATTGTGGATTTTACAATTACTTTAGAATAATTTAAGCTGTTGGAACAAAAATTATTTTTAAAAATTCCCTTTTGACATTGAAAAAATTGCACAAATTAATAAAAAGTAATTTCATAAGTAAGAACTTGCTAAAATCATAAATGGCAGTGCAATCACTATTATACCTTTAGAGTTTTAAAACTGTTTCTTTCCATTCTGCACAATCTTGGAAGATTATTATGGCTTAGTGTTCTTACTTGGAGCACCTTTGTGATTTTCAGGAAAAAGTGATGACGTTAAGAAAATGGTAAACCTCAAAGATGAATTAGAAAAATCTCTGAAAAAATGTGATCATCTTGATATAAGTAGAAAAAACAGTGATGACTCCTCAGACTCTGACCTTGAAGAGGTTCCAGACAAAGAAGGATATGAAGAACATGTAGTGGAACAGCATGTCCTTTTCGCACAAAGTTCCAGTAGATCAGAGAAGTCAGCCAGTTCAAAGAAGGACTGGAGCATCTTTTCAAAAGACAACAATGAAGAAGTATGAAGTATCTTTGTTATTCCAGTTAGTCAATGAAGTAACAGTGCTAGGGGTGATTGAACTGTTATAATTAATACATTAAAATCCTGCTTGTACATTCCCAGAATTTACATTTTCCCATTAGTCCCTTCAATTCCCCAACGTTCACAACGTATACGTTACCCAGCTTTTACACTTTCCAAAGTAAAATTTCCCATCCTTTACTCTTTCCCAAAACTGCTCAAATGTAAAGTATAGGATGGCTTATGGTATTTGTTCCCACCAAGCGCCTTGAATTCTTGATTGTTTGGGATTCGTAAAACACAGAATTACTTCATGTTGTCCCAGCATTGCTTTGGGTTTGGTATTATTTCTTTAAATCCTAACTATTTTCGAAATGAGAAAATTATTAATGTTGCGGATTGCATGGATTTTAGAAATGTTTTACAAATTGTCAATGTACCAGTGGTAATATATGACTAGATAATCGTGTGTGTCATACAATTCCCGTTTTCTTATCAGAGGTGTAAGTGTTAAGCTGTTAAAAAATATTTCCATATGGGTGCACTAATAAAAACTTCAAATCATTGTCATAAAGAGATATCCTTTAGAGCAGCTGATTGTTTTGTTTCATTGGCGTATGACAATCTTGTGGAATAAATCACAAATCAGTAGTGTCATTATTTCCATGTCATTTCCTTTCTCGCAAGCATGTTCAGTAGATTCTGTATTACTGCTCTACTTTGTTTCTAAATTCAGTAACATGTGTCTTTAAATTTGGAGGAAGTTAGAAAACAATAGATTTAGTGTATTTTGAAGTGAAAGAGCTAAGAAGCCCAATTATTATTAATTATTATTAGCCAACTAAGATCCCGTTAAGGACAAGGGTCTCTTGCCTTTTACAGAGAATGCTGAAATGAAGTGATAGGGTGATGATGGGGTTTGAATAGACTAAGGAAGGTATAATGGTAGGAAGTGTTAAGTGGGGTACTAGGAGGTGTTCGTGGGCTTTTTGAACCATCCCAGCATTTGCCTTGTGACCGAGGAAAACCGTGTATAAGTGTAGTACTCTCAATCTATTTCCGTCACAAATGTGAAATTATTAGTAGCGTCCAAAGTCTTGACTGGCAGTGTCCCCTTTGTAATTGCCAAGTCCTTGACAAGTTCACACAACTTTGAACACTGCCACATATGTAGGTGCAACATGAGTAGAGTAGATAGAATATTATGTAAGACTAGTCAGCAAGTTTTATTTTATTTATTCAACAGGTTGAACTTTTTACAAAAATTAATGCATAGTGTAATGATACAAAAATAACTAGACTATAAAAGTGATAAAATAAAAATTGTAAAAGAGAAATATTTTAATATTAATTTTTAAATATCTTCTCAGAATTTGTCTATTTGTAGGACCCAACTACGCTTCTGTCAACTTTAAGTACCTTACAAACAACTAAGAATTCGCATCCTTCCTGTAGTGAAAATTCTTTTGCAACCACTTCTTCAGGAGAACAAGAAGTCAAGGTTCAGAAAACTGAAGAAATTGAGTGTCTTCCTTCTACATCACACAAGAACCAATCTACCCAAAGTCGCAAACAAAAACTGCTGTCTGTTGCCCCAAAACTTCCTTTCGACATTGATTTATACCATTGGGAAGAAGAGAAGTTGGCTGCCCCAACCATGCTGCTGTGAGTATGTGAAAAGTTCACGTTTGAAATGATTTGTTAATAAAAAGTTTCAAAAGAATAGGCCCGACCTAGAAATATTGTACTTTTTTTAATGAAGGTCTCCCTCATGTATACTGCCAACAGTTTTTGTGATAGAAAAGTTTGGAAAAAAAATTCCTTGTCTAATAAAGACTTCTTTTGTTTTTGCAAAGGAATTAGCTAAAAATCAAAGCAATATTCGAAAAATTATTTTACCTTATTTCGAGATAGTCAATATTATTTATAAGAATATAAAAAAGTTGCTATTCTAAAACACAACAAATAAATAAATATTTAATGACAGCTCTTTCGTGGAGACTTGTTGTTTCATGTCAATAACTATGTCGTAAGCAGTGATGCATTGAATATCAGAGTTCCGCTGGTAGGCACAACATGTAGAACAGTAGAACAGAATTTGAAATAACGAAATAAGGAATAACAGAATTTTAAATATTTGCGTTTTACAAAACAATTAGAACTTTTCTATTTTTTATTTTATTTATTTATTTTAACAAAAGAAAGACATTATATAGTTGTACTTTCCATACGAATTGCAAAGAATACATATTTAAATATATTTTGGATACTGCCCAACTCAGAATACAATGTAGTAACTTTCCCCTTCCCCAAAATGTGTTTTAAAATGAAATATTGTTTTTGATTTTTCTCATTCAATTGCAATTAAATAACTTAGTTCTTTTGTTTTTGTTTTCCCCCTCCCTTGAAATTTAGACATGAAATTATTTTTTTACTGTCGACATCATTTTTTTATGGTTTTATTTGTAATATGTAATTTATCCAAAGCCAGTCTATTTCGAAATCAATAATATTTTTTTCTTATTCTATTGATGGGCATATTTCTTGTGTATAATGGTTTGCAATTTTTAATACGAAAAGCATGTGTAATTACTTTTGAGATGGAGTTTAATTCATGTAGCAGCTGTGGGTAGATCTGCAAGTTAATATAAATTTTATTTAAAACTTATAAGAAAGATATCCTTCTTCAAGTCTCCTATTCAAATTGCTTTTCACAGATGTAAGATCAAAGTGATGGGTCAAAAAGAAAATAACTTTGTATTTTGAAATTCTGGCGTTTTCTCAGAAAGCCTTTTCAAAACAAATACAATGTATAGTTCCATAATGTATTTTCCATGCAAATTTCAAAGAACCAAAAACATATATTTAAATGTATTTTGGATACTGCCCAACTCTTGAGTACAATGTAATAACTCCCCCTCCCCCAACTGTATTTGAAAAGGGAATATTGTATTTTTTAATTGATCTCATTCAATTTAGAGTAAAACCTGATGGAGCCAGATTCTGGTCTGCGACTTCCACAGACGAAATGGAAGAAATTGTTGTGCCAGAAGGCGCAGCCAGTTTACGAACTCGGGTAATCGAGTTCTCTGGGAGACACGAACCCGTGAAGTGGGCTTGTCGTGCTCCTTTGCCATCAGGAAAGTTGTGTCCCAGAAGGGACAGATACAAGGTACAATCTCTCACTCTCACTTCAGCAATTTTTACTTTCTCACATACTACAGTAGAACCAGTACAGTAATCCAAACTAATTGGGAGTGTGGTCTGTTCTGGAGAAACAAATATACCTATAGGATTACCAGACACAATGGACGTAGTATGCAATGTGAGAAATGACAATGTAGCGTAGCTCAACACATCACATCATTATGAAGCAGATTCAGTTCCTTAAGGTAAAAGATTACTGATTTTGCAAGTTCCTCTGAGTGAAAATTACTGCTTCATAAATATGTGACAACTTGTGTTTCAATAATTAGTTGTTCAGTTCTACAGTAATTATAAAGTCCTTTCTTTTCACTGCAAAGAAACCTTATAGTAATTTTGTTTATTTTTCTTCTATCCCAAATTTTGTTCGGATTATCTGAAATTTTAAATTTGCAAGGTTCTAATATACTTACAAGTGTTCTACTATACAACAGCTTTTTTTTTGGCCGAGAATTGTGTATTATAGGACTCTAAAACTGAAAAAGTGGATAATCCTGGTTTCTTCATGTAGTAAATAGCTTCCTCTGACATGTGGTGTAGTTTTAGATTTCACATTTTGTGTGTCCTTGATGCCTAAAAATTGCTTAATGGGAAAACATCTGTCAATCGATTTGTGAGCAATGCTAGCAGCTAAACTGTAGGCAGGATTTTTGCCAAAATTAATATTGCATTTTTGATGTGGCTGATGTCGCAGACCCGTGAATGGATATTTTGAATTTTGAGGATACTTTATAAGAAGCCTCAACAGCATTGTCAGAATTTTCTCAAAAATTGGCCTTTTTTTGTATGGCACAGGCCTGATTTTCACTGAACTCTCAGTATTTTAACAACAACAACAAAAATTGTAAAAATTGAAATTTTTTTCAGCATCTTCCTACAACTACAATACTAAAAATAGTTATATTTCTTAAATAAATCTATTCTTTAAAATTAGCTATTTAACTAATATCAATTAAAATCTTGAATTTTCAAAATTTGCAAATGGAAATGTTCACTTTCGTTTTTAAAGCTTCAGTAAGATTGATTTATCCACAAGGCTGAGGATGTAGGCGTAAAATTCATGTCATTCTAAACTTAAGTGCTTGGGGCTGAATCCTAAGCATTCAAAAAACATTTCTGCTAGTTGGAAACACTTCTGCAGGATCAAATAGTACCATCATATAATGGAACTATTATAAATAATGCGAAAAAATATGTGCTTCTGTATCACCACTTATTTTTTGAGACAGGAAAGTCTATAATTTTTTGTACTTTTGTAATGTAGATTGGAAATAATAATAATTACAGCAACAACAATAGCAATAACAACAAGAATAATGAAAACTAGTGTTGTGCAACAGCAGAAAGGTTGAACAAACACAAAATGTAGTCGTTTACAAAAGGCAGGTACACTGTTCAAGAACAGCAATTAAAATACTCTTGGTTAGCACTACAAAATAATTAATATTTTTACAAAACGTCGTCATGAATACTACAATAACTTTGTTAGGTATACATACAGTACAAAAGGTTTTTACATTGTAAGAAAATAAATATATAATGTACAATGTGAATAGCAAATATTTAATGGCATGCGCCCTCTTCCTCGGTCCCTTGCTACCGGCAAAGGTTGCTCAGGGCATCAACTGATGTATCTGCAGTGCCTCGGGACCTAGGGTTCAAATTGCAACAGTGGCAGGATTTTCAACACCAGCTACATAGCTCGGTTGAATTCAGCTGCTGTTGGGAGGAGAATTCTAGTGGCTGGCTGCTCTAATCAGGAATTTTCTGTGATTTCTCTGTTCAACACCAGTTGAATGCTGGAGCAGTACTCTGGCCACGGACCATGGACAATCTTTCCTTCCTCTTCCCTATCCAATACCCCTCCTTAAATACATACACATGGACTACCCTTTCGCACTTGTCGGGAGACCAGTCAGGAGCTTAGTGCTCATCGTGGGTGAGGCGGTGAAATACTGGTAGGAGATACCTGATTAGGGAAAATCTCTCAAGCTGACATAGATTGTCAATGGATCTCACCATCTACCTGGGGAAGATCTCTGTTACCTCCCATTTTAAAAACATGCCCTACCCTTATGGGACTAACAATATTAGCAGTTTATGAAATATTTAATCACAAACAGCCTCTTCCTGGGGGCCTTGCTATCACTAATCAAACTCAATAGTCATTCTTTTGAAAAATGTAAAATTGACATAGGGGCTTCATGTAAAGGCCCCCAAAAATTAAAATATCGGTTTCAAATTCAAGGAGTCACAACATCAGCCAGATCGATTAGGGAATATCATTATTGGAGAAAATTAACTGAACGATTTAGCTGCTAGCGTTGTTCACAGTCAGATGTTTTACTGTCATTCAATTTTTCATTATAAAGGACCCACAAAACAAAGATTCTAGCTATATTCTAGAGGATTTTTTCTCTCTAAATTTTGCAACTGGATTTATCCACTTTTTTGTTACCAGAGTAAAATTAGGAATCTTTCAAAATTTCACAATATATTGCATTTAATCTTCAAATACTGCATAGAATAATTAATACAATTTTAAATGTTTCATCCAGTGTCCATTTCATGGTCCAGTTGTTGCAAGAGATAGTTCAGGAAAATGTTCAAACCCAGAAGATGAAGCGAGACTGAAACAAATGCAAGAAGAAGAACAACAGAAGAACCCTGACTGGCAGGACCCAAAGCTTCTTCAGGAAATCAAGGTATGTCTTCTGCAGTGTTACATAAGAGTTAGTATTGAATAAAATGTGTTATTTTATTGTGTAATGTTACAACTTCTTTACTTAAACATTTGATTACTTTACACAATTAAAATTGATATGTAGATAATTATTATCAAGCATTCATTTGATTTGCTTTAGAGTCTAGTCTCACACTTTTCTTTTAGATCAACGTCAATATGTATTACCCTCACACCTTTTTTTGACCGATGAACTACTTTCCACCTCGGAGGTACAATAAACTATTGAATGTAAAAGCTCACAGCAAGCACTGATGGCAACATTCCAAACACATTGGCATGTAACAAGCTATTTGCTATTGAAGATGAGAACCCCTCCATGTTTTTTATTCAAAAGAATCTTTAAAAAAATGTCTGAAGCAGCCTTTATACAGGATGGCAAACAGAGATTCAGTGATGGAAGTCATTTAGGTGGAAGTAATGCTGTTCATCCTCCACTAGTTTGTCTTTTTTGATAGTGGCCATGTTGCTTTATTCAAAACAAGCAGTTTGGGGTTAGTGAAGCCGTATATATTAAGATGTATACAGTACCGGCAGCATGTAAGTGACTCTGACAGTTCTGTCGCCACATGCTGTGGTACATCATGTGACCTCTGAAGCAATTAGATTGTAAGGAATTTTTACTTTCTCACAGTTAGAGTTCAGCGTTACCGCTCATTTGACATGCGCAGCCGCAGAGATGATAAGGTTTGACTGTGGCAAAGATTATGAACATGATATCAAGACGTGAGATCGCCTGTAGGTAAAAGGTAAGTTTTTGAGACTTCATTTATCTGTCATGTAGGTAGTGCTATGTGCATAGTAATGTGTGCAATGGTGCATTGAACTGAGTCGCTTATACGCTGCTGGTACTGTAGCCATGATGTAAGTGTTAATCAGTGGAAAAATTGTTACTTGCAGAAATAAGTGGTTTGCCGAATTACCATTTGAGCCGCCATCCTTATTTCTCTAGACATTTGTGAAGAAATGTTTACTTTTTTAAATTTATTGTTGAAGATCACTTTTTACATCTTTGTCTTATATTGATCACTGTAATTGTTTTCACTGTAGAGGGCAAAATTTTGAACTGCAAGAACACATAAGGGCAACCCAAACACACACAACCATCCACATATGAGGTGGGATTCAAACCCACGACCCTTCCAGCTGAGTGAACTATGGCTCTTCAGCCTTAGTAACTTCAGCTCTATAGGCTGGCTTTTACTATGTTATTACAATATTTTAATGAATTTGAAGAAAATAATTATATATAAACAGTGCATCAATTTTCTTAAAGCAGCTAGATATCAAAATAACTTGGGCACACACACGTCACCTTATCATGGGAAATGAAAAAAACTCTTCAAAAAATCAACAGATACATCATATTTCTTAATTATTCCATTTGTTCATGTACAATTGCTTTTCCATCATCAAATAAGCAAACCATTACAAAACAATTAGAATATGAAGAATAGCCAAAAACACAAAGAAATATAGGATATGTGACAAACAGCTTAATAACTTACATTGTGCTCTAAATACTAACCAGAGAGAACACTTATGAAACATGGCACCAGAGGGAGAGCACTGCCTTTTTGCAGATCTCCTTAGTCTCTTCACATTAGAAACACCATATGCCATGACATAAAATAAATTGCCTAAGTTTATATAAACCATCAAATTTTAGTTGCCTTACCAGTTGGTGTCTGCCATTATACTTTCACCTATAATACCTCCCTCCTGAAAAGTTTTCTGCTTTGAATCTGCGTTCATAGTCTTTCACTTGATGCCACCTAAAAAAATTCCCTTTTGTCTTATCTGGTTTTCTTTCTGATGCCCGCTTTTCAATAGCCTTTGATTCTTTAACAACCATTAACTTTAAATTTGTGTGATCCGGTTGTGAACTTTGAAACCGTATATCAAATACTGAGATTCTTCACTGCTCCTGGAATCCTCACTGCTCCTTTTCCACCCTGTTTTTTGCCCTTATTGTTTACCACTTCAATAATTATTTGTTACTGTGTTGAAGTAGATTAGAAAATTTCTTTCGTTAATTTTTTTTGTTTTGCATTAATTTCTATTTTGATTTAAATTATTTTGAAGGAAGCCACTGGAGTAGATTTGAAGATGCCTGAGAAAGGGAAGAGAAAAAAGAAAAGTGACCAAACAAAGTACCCAGGTTTAACAGACATCAAGGCAAAACAAAACAATGCCTACACAAGATTAGCAAAAAAAGTATTTAAGAAGTAAGTAAATATCACATTTACAAATCAGATAATATTATATTAATAAAAGCAATGTCAGAATAACTGTTTACCTGTTAATTTCAGGGGATCTATGAAGCGAATTGCCCAGTCTTTGGATAATGCTGATCATAAACGATTTAGAGATAAATATGGTGATCAATTTAATTATGTTCATGAAACGTCTTAAAGAAAATAATATTTATTACAACATTTTGTATTTAATATTAAAATCTATATAAATAAAATTTAGGTATCTTGGATTATTTCAAAATAACTCCCTTTTTATAATCTTTTATGGTTACATACAGTGGGTCATGGCTAAATTGAAGTTGAAAGGACCAACAAAAACTCAATCATACGAACATTCTAATTAGAGAAGATACATTGTTTTGTTTTGGTTTTCGAGCCATTAAATTTCACTTTTTCTGTAAGTAAATATTTTTTGGGTAAGGTTATACACTATACCAACATAATTGAACAAAGTACATTGCAAATAATACATTAAACAAATAAAATTGCAATCACAAGTACACTTGAATGCGTAATAATAGAATGTTTGTCATGTAATATTAAGTTTTAAGAAGAATTGTAAAACATCTGATTATTTCTGTAACATTTGTCTTACACACATACTTTTTGGGTTCATGTAATACAAAAACTTTGAATTAAGGAGGGTAAACTTCGAATTATCCACAACTTTTTCATTAATTAATTAATTATATATGAAGTTCAAGGGAACTTCACAAATTTTCAAATTAAAGACGTATTTAAATTATCCAAGTCCCAATGTACATAATGTAAAAACACATTGAATTATTTTTTTAAATTTAGTCTGGATCTTTCTTTGGAATGGCAAATTCATTTTCATGTGGTTTTACTCTAAGGTAGAAAATTTTGTCAATCGTAATTTGGGCCACTTTTCTCAAATCAAAACTTTCAATTACTATATAAAGGTTTGTTTAGACTATACAAATCTACAATGTTATCATAAAATTTGGTACTAGTGGCTATAAAAATAACGAGACTCTATTTGATTTTGAAAATCTACCCCTCAATCCTTACCTACCTCTTAAAGCAAAATTTAGGATCAAGCAAAATTAAGAAAAATTAAGAGACTAGGATTTATCTAATCTTCCATGGTGTCTCTGAACCATGGAAGATTGGGACAAGTATACCTTGTCTCATGCCTACTGGATTCCAAAAACATGACAATTCAACAACAAATCAAACATGTGAGTTGTCAGTTTAACCTGGTTGATACTGTTTATATCAAGATACATTCAAGATTACTACATACTAAGCATAGTTCATTTCATGTTAGTTTCAATAATCTTTCTTTTATCACTAACACTCGCTCCATGATGAATCTCTAGTAATGTTTTTTTTTTTGCATTGTACAAAAATGCAATTGCATTTTTTTTTGCATTGCAAAACAGCCAGGATCACAGTTTCTATTAACAGATTACGATGTTATACACATTTTGCATTTTTCATATTTGTTATCTGTGCCAATTTTCAAGTGTATGATATGTCAAATTGCTAATTTTATAAATGACACTGATGAGCAGTGCAGGAGTTTGTGTTTTATGTATAATAAGAGGGAATGTGCATATGGCTATTGCAAATGGGTGGTAAAACTACTTGACTGATTTCGCTGAAATTTTCACACTTTATTCTTATTAGCAGGACTTGGTCTCTGATGACATTTCCTCTTTTTACTTGGTGTATTCCATACATAGCTAACTTTAAATGAATTTTTATTATGGCATGTAGATGGTAGAAATGTATAGTTATTGGACCGCTTTTTGCCATTTTTCAATATTTTTTAAAATTTTATATAAAATATATATAATATATTTTTATATAATATATATATAATCATTCATTTTTGTCATGTTTATGCATTTTGTTTCCTTTTTGTGTTGTTTGTTAGTGGATGTTTCAAGAATTTACACTGACACGCTAAGAAAAAGTTTTTATTGTATTATCAGTTCATGATAAAATTCACTACTGTTCTTCTAATTTACTCTGTTTTTCAAACTCTCAAAATTGTATGGGACTTCCGTAACTTTGTGGACCTTTCCAAACTGAAGGTTCGAAGATCGGAACTAAGCATTACATTTCCTCGTGCTTTATATTAAAAATAATTTTTTACATAAATACACTTTGTTTAAATTGTAAAATTCATTGAATAAATAAACATTTTCATACAATTTCTTAGTAATTATTAAAAAGTTACGATCGTTTCCCCTTATTTTTAAATCCTTTTAATGGCCATTTTCAAAGAATTTTTAGGTCATCAAAATCCCAGCCCTGCTTATTAGCATTTAGTGTGGTTGGAATTAAATCGGACGTCGGGAGCATTGAAGACTCGCAGAGTACACCCCAGCGCCCCTGAGCAGAAGCGCTAGGCAACCCGTCGCACCGTAAAGTATTAAGCGCGTGTCAGCTGCATATTCTGCCCCTGCGATTCTAAACTATAGGTCGGAATTTTATCACCCTTGAACTAATTACTTGCACATTATCTCGGAATCAAATTTCTCAGTGTCATAGCGAACACATGCCCAAACTTAACAACCAAATCAGGAAATAGAACCCTTACTTGTGAGAAAGTATTTATCTATTAGAATTTTTGCGGAGTGTAGTGTAAAACATGATTAACACTCTATGACTAGTAGGACATGAAGCATACACTGCAATAATGAAGCATTGCTGGGTCTGCTAATATAGCATTGGAGTTCAAGTTCTGTCTGGTATCTTTTGTAGATGTGGAACATTCTTTTTCAAATTATAAAAATATTTTGACTTATAGAAAGTATAATCTTACAACAGAAAATTTAGAAAAATGCAAGATTGTTAAAATATTAATAAAAATTTTCAATGTCATATTTTCATTCAAGTTCAAATGTTCATATAAAATTATATTTTTATTTTGTTGTATATTTTAAGCATTTTGATGTTGCATATAATTGACTCTTCTTCTCTCATTGTTCAGTGCTTGTTTTTGTGTTGTTATAGTGCACTAAAAAATAAAACCATTTCCTCTCACCTCAAATTAGGTTTTCTGAAACATTATGAAGATTAATTTGAAGACATGGAAATTTTTTCTCTAAACTGGCTCCAAATTTTTGGATTAAATTTTTATTTGTCAGAATTAGTTGAATTCTTAGAATTTTCAAAAATTGAAATAGTTTCAAATTTTTTGAGTTTTCCTATGACTACAATATTGCTGATACAGACTTTTCTACAGGCTGAATTCCATTCTACATAATTAGGTCTTTATATGAGGCCAAGTACTTTTTCAAAATATGAGTAGTTTTTGTGTAATTTTGCTTGAAATAAAAGCAATTTTATTTCAGATTTTTCAAAAACGGCTCCTAATTTTTCTATTTTGTATATCAGATAGCGTGAACTACTTTTAAAAATGGCTCATGTCTGATTTGCAACAGTGAATTTTCAAAATCTCAAAAGCTAACAAATAATGTAGGAATGTATATGCAGTTGTAGCACTACCAGTTTAGTTTTTGATAAATGAATTTAAACGGATTGTCTTATAATCTCAGTTATGAGAGGTTATGATGCAAAGTGGTTATATTAATAAATGAGCAATCATGGAAAGAATAAACACTTCTTAAAATATGATGCAATTCACTTAAGCCATCACTGTATGCAAAACTCAGTTGTGATTGTATGACAGGAAATGATTGATAATGTTCAAGGTAACATGCCTTGGTATGTTTGAAGAGGTGTTAATGCAACACAGCTTACAAGCAATGACATAAATCTGATCTGAAAGGACGGGAAGATTTTTTAGAAATATTGATTGATGACGACTAGATTTAACATACCTAATTATTTATTTAACCCCTTCAGGTTTGAAATGGGCACCAACTTTTAAAGCATTTTGTGAAAGAGAATGAATATAACATTACTCAAGAATTAACATTATGGCTTCATTACTCTAGTCATAAAAAATTGTTATATTTCTGTGATGGTACTCTGAGAAAATATGTGCCACCATAAAGTAGATTTTGGACAAACTATTAAAGGGCAGTTTTTGCATCATGTCACTGCAAGAATGCCTACAATTACTTAAGGTATAATTACAATTCGTCTATAATAAAGGCTAGCTTACAGTAACCAAATCTTGACACGCCATGACATGTTTAAATCCTGCAAAAGAAATATTTAAGGAATTACTTTGTCTTTGTAAAAACTGAGGAAATTCAAATACAGATTTCTAATAACACATAGGAAAGTTACTTGTCAGATAATGAAAAGTGCTAAAGCCTTTCTATGCTACTCTCAGTAAGCATTATAAAATATAGGAACACATCGTCACCTGAATGTTAACCTCAAGTTCGAAACCTATAACACTTCAAAATATAAATGGATTCTGCTTTTACTTTCTCACACTTTTGTCCATTTGTAATATGTTGTCTTTAAATTTAACGGTTCTGATAACCTTATTTTCATTTATTTGAATGGCATTAAAGTTATATATTAGGAAGCTTTTATATTTTAATAAATAGTATTTTATTATCAATTATTTCAAAGTAAGGAAGATTTGTGTTAAAAAAAATGATTCTTCTTTGTTACCACTTTACTCCAACGTAGAAATGAAGCATTTTCTGTGTAAATTCATTTTAAAAAAAACAAAAAAAAAACTTGAAATCTACATGGACATTTATAATAGTTGGATATCAGAGTTATCTATTGTGTGCACAAATTTAACATTGTTGCTGACCCCCCCCCCCCCCATATATTGCAGTAGAAAAATGTGTGGGGGAGAAAGCCAGTCAAGTGGTTCACTACTTACCCTTGATATTTTACGTACATTAACTACACTGTTATGTGTAAAAGCACAGACATAATTAGGCTGAGACTATCTCTTCGAAAATACTGAAGTTTGTTAATTCATGCACAATAGTTTTGGTTGCAAATATTACCTGAATAAAATTATAGGTAGACAAAATATCACTTTGATCATTAACACAGTTTACTTAATCCACTGCATTTTAGTTTAAAAAGTCACAACCTAGCTCTAGGTAATTTACATAATGGTAAATGTCTACAAACATGAAAAATGGTACCATTTATGAACCAAATACAATAATTTTTTTAAATGATATTGAATAACCAAAACCTAACCGAATTTATATAAAAAATTAGTGCGTTTTTTGAGCCGGAGTGGGGCCAATATATTTAATTCTCGACAACTTAAAATGGAATGACTCAGGGCTAAATAGCCCCAACCCTTCCAATTGAAATATATATGGCTTTGACATTAGTTATGAAATTAAAACACAATGCTTATACAAACAAAAAATATGAGCACAGTGTTGTTGGGGGAGGGTGACAGGGTAGTACATGAAACTGGATTAGAATTGGACATTTAATAAGAGTAATTCATGTATACATTTGTTTATTAGAGATGTAATGCTTGTGAAAACTATACAAAAGTTACAACAAAAGATTCTAGAAGCCATGTGTCAACAAATTGGATGTCTTTATCCTAAAAGTAATGAATTATTACATAACAGTGGCTCATTGTGATCAAAAAAACATGGGAAACATTTACTTCATAGTTCTGGCGTGATCTAATATTTAACTACACTTTTATGACATACCAAAAAGGAATGAGGCACAGAATTTTAATGAATATTGCTACAATGTTATTAAGCACTAAAATAAGCTATTTTTCTAAAGTCTTATTTTTTCTTATTTAAATATTATACATAATATGCATTTAAGGAGATAAAGTTCATTTTGTTCTGCTGATGCTCTCACTCTCTAAAAATATTAGCTAAGAAAACCCTAATTGTCTTCCCAGAGCCTCTGATATGCATCATAACTGCAAATAAATTAACGATTGCTAACTGCACATTTTGTTGTGATGAAATGTACACTACAAAGGCTTGCAGGGCAACTTTTTGCATCTGGCAATTATGGACCCACACATCAAGGAAACAATTAACTCACATTCTCCAGAAAATGCACAATTACTTTTTTTTGCTCAAAACTACTCTGAAAAATAATGTCATTGCTTTCATTCAAGTTTGTACGTTGTTCACATGATACAATCAAGAGTTTTCCACCATTTCTAAACTAAATATTGTGTTTCAGCAAGTACAATAACAGACTTCTTGAATATCAACATGCATCAACTCACCAATCACAAATACAGATCGATGTTACAAATATTAAAACCTTACGAAAAGCACAAGAACACTTGACCTATGCAGAACAGAGATGAATCTCAAAAGTACACTTGGGAGAAATCCTTCCAACTTCAGTCATGTCACCGAAAGGTAGCACTAACTCGCCGTCCCATCTGGAGGATCGCCGGATCCACGACTCTGCGACCTCTCTTTCCTCTTGTGCTTCGGGCGATACTTTTCCCAGTTTCTGTGATCGAGGCTGCTCAGGTCCTCTTCACCAGCAATAAGTTGAAGATACTTGGCTAACCTCAGCAATTCGTTGTCTTTATCTCGATTCAGATGTGCATGTTTAAATGGGCGAATTTTCAATCCATTTGCTGGATTCATTAAGAAGTTCCGTCGAATATCATCAAACATGATGGTGTTTCGAGGTGAATACTGATCAAACTTGCCCCATATTACTCCAAGAGGTTTAACCTAAACAATATTAGGAAACATTAACACAAAAAATAGAATAAAATAATAATGTTAATAACAATGAACATAGAGCATAAATACATATTTTGGACATTAAGTCAGAGGATCCACATGCTTTCAAAGATCAAATTCTGATAATGTCATAATGATGATCAAATTGTGTTAATCAATGTTAGGAGAGTTCTCCATTTGTAGCATGAACACAAACACTTTTAATTGTAATTTAATCCTTACCACTTCCTTAGAACAATTTACTGATTGAATAATTTACATTTTTGTAAACAATGGTAATGTACAGCAGATTTCACTTGCTCTACAAGTTTCTTTCACCCAGATCTACTGCTTTCTTTATTAATCTAAAGTGGTGATGATAATAATAACAACAATAATAAATTCAAGAAACTTCACAAGAAATCACTTGGAAGCACATGAATTAACAACTGCAATAATGTATAAAAATGCCCACTAAGTACATATTAACAAAGTGATTTTGATTTCAAATAAATTACATTTGTGTAATTTTACAATCATGAGAAGATTACAGCAAAATACCACTGATATATTATTCAGTGCATTTAGCTCTATCCATACGAAAAGTCTAAAAAAAAAAATTCGGAGCTGTTTTTCAAAGAAATATTTATCTTCAGTATTGCTCCTATTTCATTCAAAATTATGCAAAAACTATAATTTTCAAACATACATAACATTAAAGAACACAATTAAAGAACTAATTGTGAAGAATAAAATTCATTTGAAGAACAAAATTTATCTTCAATAATGTAGTTGTCAAAGGGGGACCAAAACCTTTTTAAACTTTTGCAATTTTCAAAAATTCACAGATAAAGAGTGCAAATTGGACGTATACCTTATTTATAATTGTATTTCACTATACTCCCCATAAATTTAAAGAAATTTAGAGCCAGTTTTCAGAGAATTTTGAAAATGACATTGGGGCTTTATGTAAAGTAACCTCAAAATTTAAATAATTCTTTTCAAAATCTCAGGGCTTTGAGTCAGGCCAGATCCATCAGGTTTTTAGAAAGTATCCTACAAAGAGTTTAGACACTAATGTTATTCAGAAACAGACAGCTGTGTTGAAATAAATATATATAAAAAAAAATGTTTCTTGCAATATCAGGAGACCTCAAATTGTCTATTTCCATTAAAACCTCAAAATAAATTTTCCCCAGCACTTCATAACTTTATTCTATGTATATTACGCTGTATACATAAATACGAGAATGCAATATACATACACATTCAGAAGAAAGTGAAAGGGGGTTGCAACAACCACACAAGTATTTATTTGAAAAAATTATTCAAGTACGGGTTCTAAATTGAGAAACATGATTTTAGACCGTAACTAAATGTAAAAACAATCAACATTATATAACACTAGTCAAATACCATTTTGTCCCTGTAAAATGCAGCATAACGCTGCCTGTAACCCTCTCCCCCTTCTTTAGCGTTATGTAATTTATGGATGACTCTTAAGATGATGTTACTGATATAGTGCCCAGATTATGCTTTCTTATACGTAATTTTTAATTTTTTACTGAATATAAAATGTATTTTTATTTGTTGACTTATTGTTAATATTTACTATATTGTCAATTAATATACTGTATGATTTTTGTTAGTACGGAAATTTAGTACAGGCTATATTTTTTAATGCGGGAGCAGGGAGGGGACTGCAATTACACATCACAGCTATATTTCATTTCCACACATACATTTTATATCCTTATACAATTGGACAACTTTAAGACTTCTCAGCTCCCTATGGGGAAAAAACAAAGAAGCAAAAACAGACAGATTTTGGTCAATGGACATGAAAATGCAGGTTACACATGGCATTCAATTCTACAAACCAAAAGACATTAAGGAGAACTCACCTGGACTAGTCCATATTTTGGAGTTTGAACTGTTATCATAGCTACACTATCCAAATAAAACATAATTTTGTAAGCAGGATGCTGTGACACACCTAACAGTTTCATTTTTTCCTCAATCCATTTCATGCTGGTAGCAGACCATATAACAATGTCATAATTCTGTTGAAAACGATTTAAAAAAATTACATGAAGTATTGAATAAAAGATGTTAAAATTCAAGTAATTTGTACCTGATAAGCAGATGTCAAAAACTCATGAAGATATGGTCTCATGAGTTCATAGCCAGTTTCAGCAACAGATCGATGGTCAAACAACGTGTAATCTATATCCAAAACTAGTAATTTTTTTCCTGGTCTTGGTTCATTGAATATATTGATATGATATTCACGAACTCGTTTTTCAATCTTGGCTAAATGCACCTTCAAAACAAATGTATTATGCATTAAGAGAGAGCTTACAAAAAAAATGGTAGTTTATTCCTCAGAATGTAAACCATTTGAATTTTAAAACTTGCAACATTTTTATTAAACATACTTCTTTATTTTCAACAGAAACTTCTTCCTCTTCTTCAAAATCTAGATCATTGATAACTTCAGGCATATTTTCTGGTGGGGCTAATGCATCCTCTATATCTTTTTCTAGGGAACCCATCATCATTACCTTGAAACCAGGTTTTAGTTTCAAAGTTGATAGCTGACAATCATCTTCTGGTGTCTTTCCTATTAATAAAATTAGCATTGCACTGAACTATCACAGCATTTACTAAATTTATAAATATTTATTAAATTTAATTTATAGACCTATTGTACACATGTCAATTTAAGTTATGAAATGTCATCAACCTTTTAACTTCAAGTTCAGTAATTTTTGCCTTTCTGGTAGCACGCCAGTTTCTTTATGTATTGCATTTTTCAGGGTAGAAACTGTATCAGTCTCAGTCAAATCACAAATTTCATACTCTTTCCCGCCCCATTTCACAATAACTTTCACGTCGTTCTCCATTTTGCGAAATACCAACCAGGACCGTGGAACAAGTTCGCCAATAATTCTCGATTCTCGAAAATACTCGTTCAGCGCAAATAACCGAATCTTCGTTCATAAGACTCTTTCCTGCAAGTAGACAAATGTAGACGTTGTTCTATGTAGACACGGTGTAATTTTAGTTATCTATACTGCCGTTCATAGCGCTATCTTTTACATTCCTGCACGAAGTTCTTGCCTGATTCTTCTTCCTGTGCCAGTCACCCTTGAAATTATTAACGTCACGGCATTGCTTTAAAAGTATTCGATGTTTAGTGATGCATTACACAAGTACATACGTACTCTTTAAGCAAGTTAATACGCATAATTTGAATTTGCAAAAGGATTGTGATGTTTATCCCTATCTATATCTTCTGACAACAGTCGATCGTAGTCACGTGTATTTTGGAAGCTGGTTATTTGACTTATTACAAATCATGTTACTACAGTTTTAGCTCCAACAAAGTGGAAACACAAATTTCGGACAACAGAAATCCAAAGGATGTGAGAAATAATTAATTTAATTTTAATTATAAATTACTATTGAAAATACCAATTTTAAATCTATATTTACTATTTACTCTATTTTACAATTTGTATTATCAGTGTATTGATGTATTTCTTCCAAGCAATCCACAAAGCTAAATTGAAATTTGCGCAACAATGCCGCAATCGATATTTGCAAAACCTCATTGTGGTTGAACGTGGAGATGGTGGCGGTGATTCGTTAAAGCTGCTTTATTTAGTCCAGCTTGTGTTTCCAAATAAACCTTTTAGAATGATTCCAAACTTATTTGATAATCCATGTTTTTTGACCGTTTGGCAAGATATAGGACATATACTTGGGTTTTTGTTTCTTAGCGCGTGAGGGCTTCACAATGGATCCAAATCCATCACGTCATTTTGTCTTTGTGGGTCGTGCCGCTTGATGTTGCACGATCGCCAAGAGTGCTCGATACGGTTGCGAGAAAGCGTCCAAGAAAGACGCGAAAGGCTATGAGATATTCCATCGTGAAGACAGTCTCTCACGCACCACGAACTAAAAACCTAAGTATACTCGTACATATTTTCATTGGACGAAAGGACACTTATCTATGCACATTTCAGCATGTCACTAGCAATACATTCCATACTATAAACTTTTAAAATTAGTATTTTAATTAGTTTATTAGTCTTATGGTTATTTATCAACAGTGTATGATGTACAACGACAAAAACAAGTTGAAATCTGAATACAGATGGAAATTAGAGTTTTTGCCAAGAATTGGAAGAAAAATATTTGCCAAGCATATATTCCGCTGCCAGCCGCAGTGAAGTCCATTTCGGCGCGTGCGTCTCCACCGGGGTCGCCCGGCTGCCTCGGCCACAGAGAACAGGAGCCACCGGCCTCACGTCATTTTGTTTATTTAGTCAAAAAACAGTAGAAACTGTATGGGCCGAATGGGGGAGAAAATCAACTGCGCACTTTTTTTTTGTTCCAATACTCCCTCCCAACATTTGAACCATAAATAGTTGAAAGATGAATAAAAGTTTAAAAATAATAAAATTGAAGTAATCCAGAGATTAGCAACATTTGTGGAAACTAGATATATTCGTTCCCGAGTTATAGGAAACTTATTTGCATCGGCAAACGAACACAGATTTGATTCCTTTATATTGTCATCAAAGTTGCAATTCATCCCCAAAGTTCTACTCCTACCACTACTATAGAGCGTTTTTTTTTAGAATGGGATGACGTGACAGCTAGTGCTGGCAACACAACTGAAGGTTCTGTGGTCGTTGTGTTCTTGAACATATTAGACTCTCCTTCCTCCATTCGTTAGTTTGCAGTTGGCTAACTTGTCAATGGCTTCGTCTCTTCTTTGTGTGCTGTCTTCGTCCGACGAAAATATAGGCGCCACGAGAAAAATTTGAAATTAGAAAGTGCAGAGCTATGTGCTCTTCTGTAAAAATTCGTTTTTTCAAAAACATTACATTGAATTGAGTTTTTATGTGATAAGTATCATATTTGTTTTAAAATCGTGTCTTGAATGTGAGATGCGTATACTGGTGGCGGTTCACGTGTTTCCGGCTTCTGCGCTGTGTGACGACTGGCGAGCTGTGTTCGGGTGCGTCCCATTTATTCTTTTAACATAATAAAGATGTGTTCTATTGAGAATCAGTATTTAAAATATTCATTTGAAAAGTGAATGCTTGTAATGGAAACAACTCTCAAGAAAATTTTGTAAAACCTTTAGTTATGGATGCATGCATACAATTAAAACATAGCATTCACTGTTTTAGATGTTGTAATTGGTGAGAATGAATATAAAGAATGTGCCTATTATTCATCCAAGAAATAGATGAAAATAGACATACTAGATAGCTCAAGGAATGCATGGAAATGCATAACAATAGTGAAATATGAAACAATAATTAAACACATTTGAGTTATGAGAGCGTAGTACCAAATTTTGATAGCCGGGGTGTTACAATTATAGCGGTGATTTTACATCTAAACATGTAAACAAATTACAATGTGTCGCCCAAAATACTAACATTGTAGTCTCGACTCTGCCCTTCATGTACAACAGACAAACCCTATGCAGCGAGATTAAGCACGCAAACCAGCAATTTAAACTGAACCTGAGAAAAACAAATGTAACACTTTTTGAAATTAATTTCCTCAGCAAAACACTTTACCCGGCATGGTATACACATGAACCTTGCTGAAAAACATGCAGTAACCAATAAGCATGCGCCACACATTTAACAACTCTAGTTCTGCGCAGTCTTCTACCAAAAATCTGTCCCTTTCACCTTACTGACGTTCTCTACCCCTACCCTTATTCCAAACCCACTTACCTCCCCCTCTGATCCTGCTCCCGTTTCTCCCAGTCCCACTACCAATTCACTTACACCTGATGCCCTAATTTCTTCACAACCTGCTACTGCTGGGACACATTACAACCTTGGCCAACGCACTCGAGGTAAAAATTGAGTAAATATGTATAGCAACTTCAGACAGAAGAAGTAGAAAAACATTCGTGAAGGTTCTTGCAAAAGATAAACACTGCACCACAGTGTTCAATCACTTTAAAATAAATAAGTAGTTTATCGGAGCAGCTCTACATAATGATTTAATCAAATATATGTTCTTTGCTTCGGTTATCGGTTATTTTATAATGAACTTCCAAAAAAATTCCAAACATTAATCTCGCAAGCTATTATTGTAGAAAAAATAGCATAAAGGTCCTACATATGGGGGTTCTTGCGTTTATGTTCGAAATAATATCGATTATACCACCTTCACGGAATTAAATGTGTATTCCGTTGAAAATGTTTTTGAAATGTCTTTAGTACATCTTCTTATCCTAAAAGTGATATTACTTTGCATATTACTTTCTGATCGAATCTTTCGAGAAAGAGCAGTTTCTCAATTTAATTCATTCCTTCAGTTTAGATATTACAATAAATGTATCTACACGGATCACACTAAATTCAAAGAAGGCTATCAATCAAATAATAATTAACAAAACCACTACTCGAAGTGAAATTGAAACAAAAGATTTAGGATACACTGACCATGATGCACAAATTCTTACTATTATAAGAAATGTCAATACTGACACATTAAGCAATACACTTATGAATAGATTATTCACTAAAGTTATATATAACTATATATATATATATATATATA